GGTGTTTGTGTGCGTGGTTGTTCGTCCTCTTCTGCTGAAAGCAGTGAGGCCGGGGGGTGTGTGTGTTTTTCTAAGAAGGCTTCTGAATGTCTGCGCTTTTCTGGAGCGATGTAGGAAGACTTAGAGTAGTTGGCAGGCAGGTGAAGGGTTGATAGGCCCTGTGCTGTAAAAGGGCGTAAACAAGCCTTTTATTCTTACCGTGTACGGTGTTCTCAAATAGCTCTGCACAGCCCGACGGCTGGGGTTGCCTCTGCGGCAAAAGCAAACTCAAGCAATGGAACTTATCGGTGTTTAGCAGTGTTTTAGTATAGCGTGGGACGACAGTCTTACTCCATCCCATATGTATAGGTTTGGCTTTGAAATGCTCAAAATATGAGGCTGCGTATAGCAGTTGACAGTGTTGGATAGGACGAGAGGAAACGGCCTCAAGTTGTGCCAAGTGAAGTTTAGATTGGACGTTAGGAAAAATTTCTTTACTGAAAGAGTGGTCAGGCCTTGGAACAGGCTGCCCAGGGAGGTGGTGGAGTCCCCATCCCTGGGGGTATTTAAAAGACGTGTAGATGAGGCGCTTAGGGACATGGTTTAGTGGGCATGGTGGTGTTGGGTTGACGGTTGGACTCGATGATCTTAGAGGTCTTTTCCAACCTTAATGATTCTATGATTGATTCTTCATTAGTTGGTGCTACAGTTGTTAAGTATCACTCTTCCTAGGTTTTAATCCTGTTGTGTTTTCCTTGTTCATGATGTTAGTGCCGACAGCTTTCGGGAAGCTTTGCTTTCCTTGCAGCTGTGCTATGCAGAATTTCAGTAGTTTGTGGAAATAATCTGAACTGAAATATGTCACCTCAGAGTTGAGTCAAAATGGAAATATTTCCCTTAACTGCTTAACTTCTACATGTTGTAAACTGCACCACATAGAGCAAAGGCATTGAAGTCATGGCTGTTAAAGCCCTCTAAAAATAAATTAATGGATTAATTGACCACTGTTTTGTAAAACAAGGGTCAGATCCAAGTATCAACTTGTACTCCTGAGCTCAAGGCAAGTAAAGATTGGAGGGAAGAGCAATCCAAGAAGAGTAAGTGTGTCATTGTTTTTGTTTTGATTCAGCCCCGTAGCATGAGCAAGGCAGTTAACTCCAAAGACTGCTGCTTAAGAGAATCAGTTCCCTGCAGGAAGGCAGTGAGTCACAGATGACGCTGATCGTTCATTAACGACATATGTACGGTGACTCCAGCGGCCGCTGTCTTCAGCTGTCCCTTCCAGGTGTAATTCACTGTGAAACAATTCACTGGCGATGTCACGTGTGAGAATCCAGAATCCTTCAGTGTTACACATGACCCATTCCTGGTATTTTTGTTGCTATTATTATGCTCAGCTCTGTTAATAGGCAGGGGTGTTTGAGGATGCAGTTTGGGGCCCAGTTACATCAAGAACTTTGCCATTCCCCTGCTTCAGAAAAAACCATAAGCCTTTGAAAAGCTGAAATTCTGGTGAGCTGGGAGAAAGGCTGGCTCAGCTGCGGAGCTGCCAAGTATGGAATGGAGCCCAGGGCTTTCTGAAAATTGTAGCCCCAAACTTAGGCTTGTCCAGCACCGGTAACACCAGACTGATTCAAACACAATGAGGTGGCAAAACCAGTGAATCTGGAACTGGTGAAGATGAGGCTGTATGTCTGTGTGCATCTCTGTTGGTAGCACTCAGTTACTCCAGAGATGTTTCTTGAAAAATAAGAGGTGTCCTTAGAGCTTGAGGTGTCGTTCACTGACATGCTAGGGGAGGAAAATGGTTAAGCACGGGACAAGGCTAACGAACAAGTGTCGTCTTTGACTTAAAGGCTAAACCCTCAGAGGAGAGAACAGCAGGTTTTGCTGTCGTGTTAATTCAGGACCTGATTTCTCTCATCCTTTCTCAGGTGAAATCCCTGGTAACGATTATGGCATTTTTCTGCCTTGGAAAGTGAGAACTGAATGGCACGTCATACATTTTAAAAGAAACTATTTTATCTAACAGTAGCATTTGGGAGAAATACAGGGTGCTACTCAAAGATAAAGGGAGTTTCTTCTGTACAAGGACTGCAAGAGGGAACTTTGAGATTGTAGAGGGGAAAGGACTAGCATGTGTTATGTATGTGTTAAGTATGCGGATCAGTACACTGTCAAAAATATGATCTAGTGATATAGTATCCTGTGGAAATTACTGACTTTGAGTTAATTGTCAGGACATTTTTATTATAACTACAAGCCCTAGTTTAAAGAGTTGTGCTAATCTATTTTTAACCTCTCACCTGTAGCTTTAGCTAGCCTTGCAATGTGTCAGGAGTGTTTTGTGATCAGAAGTGTTTACAGCTTTTAATACACTGGAAAACACAGTCTGAAAGCAAAGCCAGCGTATTGCTGTTTTGTAAATGAGCTGTGAGCATATGCTTGATGTAAAAGTAAGCTTGAGATCGAGGTTAGCTGGGGCTTTCATTTGAGCTGTTTTCATATATGCCCTTTCATAAGGCAAAATCACAACAGATGCTTAGTGAAAGCACGTGTGATACTGTCAGCAAGTTTCCAAAACTATAATCTTTTCCTCAATCATGGAGAAGTATTGAGAGCTTTTCCTAATTTCAGCTGTGTTCTTTGTTATATTATCTGGGTCATCAAAACTGGAGCGCTGTAACCTAACTCTTTGTTTTGCTTCTAATAAACTGGTAGATGTACGCAAACAATTTACAAATTGCCAAAACACTTTGCCAATGTTTTGTTCTACAAATTGGCGAACGATTTACAAATTGACAAAACTGTTGCTGATTTCCTGCGCAATGTTATTTCCCATGCTGTGCTTTGGGAGGAGGCTAATCTATACCTTTGACTAGGTTTATGGGAACTATTTACCCCCAAACTGATATTAATTTAAAGTGGGCAATCGGTTTACAATTTTAATGTCACCGCTAAGTTTTTCTACATCTCTAGTGTGTAATAGCTATTGAAAATAGGTGTTTCAGTAATTGTACAGATGTTGTGATGGTTTTAGAATGTAATTAAGGGATGCATTCCAGACTTTGTTTGTTCTGAAGGTACTTTTTTGAAAATAATTTTCCATTCATTAAAATATTTCTGTAAAACTTAAGACGAATCACAAAGTAACTTTTTTTTTTTGTAATATGGTGAAACCTAGTGACTCTTTTTAGAGGTCAGGGTCCTGCTATTTTGATTATTTTGTATGTTAATGAAACATTCTGTCCTGTGATATTTATAGCTTTTTATGTAGAAGTGTTGAAACATTGTTCAAGAACTGACCAAGAAAATAGACACTGATAGACAGTCTTCAAAGGGCAGCTAAAGAACAAGGAACTGTTTGGTACATTTGTTTTTACCTTTACTATTATGAAAATTAATGTGATAAGAGGAGCTTTTGGAGTTGTGATGTTGACAAATACTAGTTTTGGTGATGATGGGATTTGGGATGTGAGGGGGAGAGATTCACTTTTTAGTGACACTTAATTTTTTTTTTTTTCCCCCCCCTAGGAAAAAAAGAAAAAAAGTAGTGAGGAGTCCCAGCTACAAGAGTCTGATGATGTCTTCCTCCCGCCTGTGGCAGAAGTGTCTTCCCGAGCCAGTAAAGTGCAAGTGGAACATCCTGGAGAATTTACAGAAATTCGGCTCAGTGATGAAGTAGAGGATGGAAAAACTATAAATGATGTGTGCGACATCCCCCAGAGTAATTTATCTTCAGCAAATGAAGGGTCTTTGTCAGTGACTCTAGAGCCTCCCATAGATGCAGGAGAGTTCAAAGCTGATCTTCCCCATGAGGAATGTGGGGGGGATGTTGAGAAGAGTGGAAAAAGCAAGTCGGACAAACCTGACTGCCCTGTGGAGGCGGTTGCTAGCGGATCAGGAAACTCTGATTTATTGAGCAGTACCTCTCATTCCAGTGCTGCTGGCTCTCAGACAGCAGTGGCCTTTGTACGGGACAAAGGAACTGAAAACGTACAAGATGTTAAAAATCCTCTTGTCCATTCTTCAGAGAAGTTTCCTCTTAGTGTGTCACAGCTCTCTGAGAAATCCAAAACACGTATTCAGCATTCGGGATTGAAACCAGTTTATCCAGACTTGTCAGCTGAATTGTCCTATGAGAGACCCACCGTAATAGCAGTTAAACCGCTGTTGCACAATGAAAGGCTGTATCCAGAGCTCCCAACCGAACCAGAACTGGTGCCATTTACTAGAGAACAGCTGAAAATTTTTGAGCCGTGTTCATGGTTGGAGAATGTTGACTCCTATGCAGAGGAATTTGAAAGTGTTGCTCATCAGGACAGGCACGAATTTTATGAACTGCTCCTGAACTACATGCGCTGCAGGAAGCGGCTGTTGCTGGCTGAGGCAGAGCTGCAGGCTATGACGACAGACTGCCAAAATATTAAGGGGAGATTATGGACTTTTAAAGAAGAACAGAAAACTGTGCAGGTGCTGTTGCTGAAGCTACTTTTGAACCCAAACTATTTGGACATGATTCCAGACATTAATTTTACTTGCTGTCACGTTTAGCGTATTTAAGCTGTTTTATTCTAAAAGAGATGATTGCCTTTGCTTTTCTGTCTCCACTGATCGCCAGTACTTCAAAGTATCATCCTATTGAGATCTAAGATAGTTTATGGTTTGATTTTTTTTTTTTTTTTTAAACCCTGACGAGTATAGGATAATGGGATCTCTGTTCGTGATCTCTTTTGGAGTCTGACATGTTTGTAGTCAGTCGGAATGAGCCTGTGTACAGCCAGTTCTGCCTGTAGTGTTGGGTGAGGTTTGTGCCGCAGTACTTCAGGTAGAAGCAGGGGATACGTGGTGGAGTAGGACTTCAGAATGGCTGTAGCGGTGATGTCCCATCTGGCCCGCTGCCTACAGTTTTTATTGATGTCATTCTTCTCTGTCCTGCGGTCAGAGGTGGCAGCTGCAGAGGAGCTTGAGTAATGCTCGTGGGCGACCCTGTTGCTCAAAGCATAGGGAGTGTGAAGTCCATCCACTTTCAGTAACTGTTGCTCCATAAGTGGTGCTGTGGTTTTAGCTACTTGCAGGGTGGTCATGGTACTCAGTAGCGTTTCTGTCTGCAAACCAGAGGAGTCTGGGGACCTCTTTGGTGCACGCATCAGAAATTTTTTTCCCCCAAACTCATTCTGTGTAACTTGTTTTTGGAGCTGGATGTTTCAGTAGGAGTGAATGAAATTGTTCTGGTGCTCTGATACTGTTTATAGCCAACACATTGTCAAAATAGTCCAAGGGTGCTAAGTACCTCTGTATGTGGTGGCTTTTACTGTTGCTTCTGTGAGTGCAGTGCCTCTCCTGTGAAGTTCGTTGGAGCTGAGACCTTGAGAGACTTTCACTGAACAGATTTGACTCTTTTCCTTTTTACTAGGGAATAACAACCTGTATCACTGAACCTCACTGGACTCTCAGTTTTGTGTTGATCACTTTCTACACTGAAAGCAATTTTGATTTCACTCTTACATCCCCACTGGTCATCATACAGTTGGCCAAGCTTGCTGCTTGCTTTATTCCATCCTGATTCACTGTGTATTTATTGTATGTCCACAATAATTGTTGTCTTTATACTAATTTAAAATTCTTATTCTACTAACTTAGGAAACACAGGGATACTTTCAAGTTAAACTTCCAAAGTGCTGATTCTGAAGTGTGTTTCCTGGTTGTGTAAAAGAATAATAGGAATGTTATGTATTGTGGTATTGTATGACTAGTCTCAGCTTTTAATTCCAGTTTGGGAAAAGGTTAGAGTACAGTTCATTTCTGAAAATTTTAAATGTGTAATGGGAAGTTGCTATAAATACTCAATTCTGGGAGCTTAGAAAAATATTTATCTTGTTTCAGTAGCTATTTTAGTTTTAAAATAGCAGATCCAAATATTTATGGAAATCTATAAAGTGAGAAGCAGGTGTGCTCACTGGGAGTAGAGAGACCTGGTTTTGTTCACATCTGTCAGTGATACAGACAAGTCACTTCATATCTGTTTCTAAATCTGAGTTATTGAAGGTTTATAGAGTCATTTTGTCAGAAGTCAGGGATATGCATTTTCAGTAATCAGCAGCTCTAAAAAGTATGTAGGATGTTCCGACATGTTTGTCTTTTCCACCTGTGAAGTGGCCCCTTTTATGAAAGCATTGAAATCTGTTGAGGGGAGGGTTATGTCAAGGTTAATTTCTGTAAGCACACTTGACCCGACAAAATGACGAAGCCACTTAAATAAAATAATTGCTTTCTTTTCAGGGTGTCTGTGCCGATCAGTGCAAAGTGACAGGTCATCATCGCTACCAGACAGTGGAGCTGAATGAAAGTGTGTTGGGGGAACTGAAAAAGCTGTTTGAAGCCAAAGCAGAGCATGTGCATCAGACACTGGCGCTGCACTCGTACACTTCGGTGTTGTCCCGGTTGCAAGTGGAGTCATATGTCTACAGGTTGCTCAGCAGCTCCTCCCTGCTGAGATCAGTGGCTCTTCAGCAGCAAGAACAAGGTGTGTTGCTGGTCTAGACCGCTCCCCATGCTGTTTAGGGTGCCCAGCATCTTGTTCACGTGCAGTTTTGGAGTCTTGTGGTGGAATTTGTATACTGGAATGTTTCTCCTCTGATAGTAAAACCTGCTGATCTTATGTAGGGATCAGTGAAACTTTTTTCTCACAGGAAAAACTCCAATTCTTTTACCTTATTCATCTGGACAGTGGAAGCTGAATGCAGGAGTGCTGCCTTCTGTCTAGGCTGTATACTGCCACTGATTACTGTAAAGGAACACCGGGTGGGATGGAACACCTGGACTCCAATCTTTTGTTGTCAAAGGCAACGTATGATACAGTCGCTTTTCCAAATTGATTATGCACAATTCTAAAACCAGCTGGATATTTTTCCTGCTTTACTTCCTCTTGGAAGGCCATTTGAAATCTTGCAGCTCTAATGCTTGGAAATCTTTTTGGTTTTCATCCTAAGTGTATTACTTATTTGGGTTTGTGCCAATATAATCTTTTAGCTGAAGTATTCCTCCCCCTCCCGCCCCAGATATTTATCCTTCCTAGTCCTCCTCCCTTTGCCCCCCACCTCCCAGATAGTTTATATGCGTAGTAAATGGTGGTTCTTACAAAGTTTATGTTGAGGGAGGGCCTTTTATGAGAGTAACCATAGTATATTCTTCTTGTAATTAGCGTCCAGTGCTTAATTATAAGATTAAATGAAGTACTCTAAATAAGTGTTCTTCTCTGTCAGATTTAGCAAGCAGCTGTGTTGAAATATCTTGCTCTCTGTATCTATAGATATCAAGTTTTCTACATAGCCCCAAAACCACTACTTACGCTACTACTCGAAGAGCTGCTCATCAAAGCTTCTTAATTCTGTTTTTAATTTACAGTTTCAAAGCAGTCAGAAAATCTTTCTTCAGACTTGGGCCACTTGAAGGAATGTATCAGTGTCCTTTTCAGTTTCACTCGCAGAGTTATCGAAGATCCTCAGTTTCAGAGTGACCTTCTCATGTGGCTGCAGAGACTGGTGAGGGAGTAAGGATGGATATATCAGTTTGATCCAACACGTGGGATGAATTCGGGAGTAATTTCTGAAGGTGTTACTGTTTCTCTCACTGTCCCACATGCAATGATTTTTTCTGGGGTTTGTTCTACCTGAGGAACACAATCTGTTAGTGAATCTTTAGAACGAATTCCCTTCCCTGATGAAGTCAGTGGAGGTCAGCAGCATTAATGAGGATTGGTACCTGAGCAGCCAACACTGCTCAAAGTGCACTTAATAATCAATATTCATTATGCTTTTACTTATTTTGAAACTAAAACTATCAGACTTGTCATTTTTGAGAAACTGCTATTCTTGCTGATTTCTAAATAAATCAATTTTTAATGCAATTGTAAAGTAAATAATTTTTCAAAGAAAATGGTTTGTGGCTCATAAGCCAAATAAGCAGACTTTTAAATATTGTTCTCCTGTAACCTGCTCTGAAAATGGAGGCTTGTTATAAAGCATGGGAAGAGAAATAAAAAACCAGTATTTCTCTAGTTAGCAAGACTGTAAAGGAATGAACCTTGAAATCGTTTACAAGATTCCAATATACTTCCCTTTAGGTGTCGGTGTTGCAGAGAATTGGCTGTCCAGGTGACCATCTCTTCCTCTTCAACCACATCCTTCGGTGTCCAGCTGGGATCAGCGAATGGGCTGTTCCGTTCATTCAGGTGTGAATGTTTAATTCTTTATTGTTGGAAGGCTGGAGTGGGAGTGGAGTGGGTTAGGAGAGGAGACTATCTTGTGCCTAGTCAATCCCTCATGACCGACACCATGTTTCCAGGTGTGTGGAATCATGGTAACAGTGAGGGGTTTGTCAAGGGATGTATTTACCCATGTTAGCCCAACCATGAGCAGGTTAACAGGGAAACACACTTCTCATTCTTGGCTAGAGAGACCCCATGAAAGGGAGTCAAGGAGTTGCGGTATGGCTCAGGCGGCCTCATGCAGCAGCAGGTTTTGAGAGTGCTCTCCAAAAAAAAGGAAAGAATATTTAGACTTGAAGCAGCAACTGTATATGAGACAAGTGAGATTGGAGGCAGCTTGGTAGTGTATAAGGGATGAGGAAGACCAGATTTTTATATTCTGCACGTTGAAATGGGACTGGTTTCCCTGGAAAATTTATTAATTAGGTAATTTCAAGGGCAAGGGTTCACTTTGTATAGAACAGAGGGAGCGCAGGTATCCAAAGGCACTAGAGTGTTCTTGCAAAGAACATTTTTACTCCTCCAAGAGAGGAAGATGTTGGAAATCTAGCTGTAGGAAAAGGATTGCAATTACACTAATAGGGGAAAGGCAAGCAATGAAATAAAAGGATGATTTGAGGTAGCGTCCTAACTTCCCCTGTGCTTAACATCCCAATTCCCCTTGGTGCCAATGTATACATGAAATGAAGAGAGAAGTTGTCTTTTTGTGGAGCTTTTGATTTTTTTTTTCTTTTTTCCTCCTTTATATTAATTTCTGTAAGCACTTCTTTTGGAAAACTCCCAATATTTTGCCATAGCAATACTTTCTCCAGGGTGTGGGAACTGTCTTTTATGGATACTTTTTAGTGTGAACAAAAAGCTAATGAAAAACGTGAAACTCAAAATTTGAATTTCTCTGATAAAACTAGTTTTCCCCTTGTTTTACTTGGACTGTAATTTTATTTAGACTTACTTAGATTTTATTTTTTTGCATTTAATTTCAGATCAAGGTCTTGGGTAACCCATCAGGTGTCTTTCATTTCATGCAGTCTCTTGCCTTGCTTATGTCTCCTGTCAAGTAAGTATGAATATGATTTTGTAAATATGTTTTGATTATTTAAGAGTAGAAAATACGACAGAAGATCTACTTGTAAAACCCTGAAAGTTCATTGCAGGCAAAGTCATAAAAGCAGGCACAAATAAGAGATTCACAGTTTAATTCAAACTCTTTTTACTCATTCATCTTCAAATACAGCTTCGGCAGTACATTCTCCTACTGTAAACAGTATGATGCAGCTGGCTTTCAGCTGTCAAATAGCTTGTGAAGGTTGACATACCCACATGTTTTGTTACTGTGACTTCTGAAATAAAGTTCTTGCCTTGCACGATGGCCTGTTCGCTATACTGTCTCTGCAACAGAAGTCCTTGAGTAAAGGGTTTGCTAAGTCGGTGTGTATGCTTATTGGGCTTCTTAATTTATTTTTTTCATCCTTTTTTTTTAGCTAGAAGGAATACACGGTGCTTGGAGAAGCTAGTTAGTGAAATCAGTCATGAGTGAAAACTGTTACGTGCTTCAGATAAAATATATAACCTGCCTTCCCTCCCGGCCCAGATTTTAATGTCAAAGAATCAAATTGCTGGTATTTAGGATTGTCACTGTGATCTTGATAGTCTTTGACCCTGAGTTAAGTGGAAGTCCTCCATATTGGAGGCTATTACTTTAAAGGGTTTTGTTTTCACTTCTCCTGTCTAGAGCTGCCTGGGGAAACAAGTGTATCCTGAAGGCATGCATATTGCCAATGCATTTTGATGCTTGTGTTTTGAACAAGGGCTAACTTAAGGTGTCTGGAGTGGCCCTCTCAACTGATACAAGATGATGATACAAGATTGTATCTTGTTGATACAAGAACGCAGAGCCTCCATAATGGCTGTACTTCCTGGTAAAAGAGCTGAGACTTGTCTGTTACAGCTGCTGCATGTCAGGAACAAGTTTGAATTTTGAATTTGGTTTGTGAAATCAGTATCTTAAAACTTACATTTCGTTTGTAATAGGTTCATATTATCAGAGTATAAGTTCAAGGAGATCAGGAGGGGGATACTATGCTGGAGTTTTGTGGCACTGTGTGCAGAGTTCTGCCGGTACATTTCAAGTTAAAAGAAAGTTGGACGTTATGATTTTAACTTAGAATCATAGAATCGTTTAGGTTGGAAAAGACCTTTGAGATCATCAAGTCCAACCGTTAACCTAACACTGCCAAGTTCACCACTAAACTGTGTCCCTAAGTGTCCATCTACATGTCTTTTAAATACCTCCAGGGATGGTGACTTCCCTGGGCAGCCTGTTCCAATGCTTGACAACCCTTTTGCTGAAGAAATTTTTCCTAATATCCAATCTAAACCTCCCCTGGTGCAACTTGAGGCCATTTCCTCTTGTCCTATCACTTGTTTCTTGGGAGAAGAGACTGACCTCCACCTCGCTACAACCTCCTTTCAGGTAGTTGTAGAGAGCGATGAGGTCTCCCCTCAGCCTCCTCCAGGCTGAACAGTCAGCCGCTCCTCGTAAGACTTGTGCTCCAGGCCCTTCACCAGCTTCGTTGCCCTTCTCTGGACACACGTCAGCACCTCAACGTCCTTCTTGTTGTGAGGGGCCCAAAACTGAACACAGGATTCAAGGTGCGGCCTCACCAGTGCCAAGTACAGGGGGACAATCAGTTCCCTACTCCTGCTGGCCACACTATTTCTGGTACAAGCCAGAATGCCGTTGGCCTTCTTGGCCACCTGGGCACACTGCTGGCTCACATTCAGCTGGCTGTCAACCAATATCCCCAGGTCCTTTTCTGCTGGGCAGCTTTGTGACATACTTGTTAATTTCTTGTTCTTGTATCTGTTTTTTTTAATATCTTCTCTTAAATAAAAGATGACTTAGTTCAGAATTTTTAATTTTCTAATTTTTTGTAAACTTGATTTTCACTTCAAATCAGGAATCGGGTGGACTTCATGTGCCATATGAAACCAAGTGAAAGGAAAAGTTCCTCTTCATCTGGGAAAGAATCTGGAAACTGGACCCTGGTAGATGAAGGAGGAGAAGAGGTACAGCAAAAGACTACTTCCCGCCCCCGCCCCCCCTTTTTTTTCCCTTTGTGCTTTTGCTCAAGATTGTTGTATTGATTTTGTGAAATGGAGAAAGAAAAACTGACGTTCGGTTAAAAAGCATCATTTGAAACTTAGATCTATTTTACTCTCCTTTTATCTCTGTGATATAACTGTAGATAGTGAAGCTTCCAGGAATGAGTATTAACAGATAGAATTTAAACATTTAAGCTATTGCATGCAAAAGGAGAATGGGAGTAGACATATGCTTGCATAGGTGCTTCCCTTCAGAAACTGGCTGGACTGATATAGCGTTGCCTCTAGGTCTGTTTCCTAGCTGATGAGGGCTTCTATGTAGAAGCACAGAAGAGGAGTTTAGAAGGTTGTGTTTGTGTGAAGGAGAGTTAATTTGTACTTTCTTTGTTTTCCTCTTACAAGCAAACTGTAATCAGTACAATAGTGAAGCCCTTCTACCATGTGTTGTATTGTATATATTTATTAAAGCTACTAAAAGTGACTGTATGTGTCTATAGGATGAGGATCCTGAAACAAGCTGGATTCTGCTTTTGGAAGATGACTTGATTTCCTTGTTGTCACAGTTTCCATTTCGTGAACTCTTTCAGCAGTTCCTTGGGTTTAAGTCTGGAGGTAAATCAGTTGCTGAAGAGTTACTCTTCATTTTGCTTATGCTAATTGTATTAATGACTAAAAGTGCCAAGAATGCTACTGCGTTGTGAGAGTCTCTGAGTGAAGTAATAATGAACCTGTGCAACGGCTCACTGACTAAATAGATGAGGTGGAAGTGTATGCCATGAGTATGGCAAAATGTTAGAGTCCTTTCCTTAGTTTTGATCTGCCTCGGTAGTTATACTCACAGATGTGCTTTCAGAACTAATTTTTCTTCTTTGCCTCTTAGCTGTAATGTTACTGTGATTTTTCTCCCATTACTTATTAATTCTTTATTTTGCTAAATTTCTGGACAAGTACATGAAGATAACAGCTTGGTGGAGGTCTTATAACCTGCATAGTTTATTTGTACTTTCATACTTAACAGGTATTTATTGTTCATTTTGTAAACAAAGCATAAATTTAAGTTCACTATATAGCTGGCAAACAATGAATTGTTTGCCAGCTATATGGTGAATTGTTGCTTTGAGTCCTTGTTAAGTTGCTTAAAAAAACAGAATTCACACTTTTTTTTTGAGACTTACTTTTCTGTCTTGGTCTTAGGTGCTTATTTTCCTGAAAAAACAACTCCCCAGGAGATGATGAAGATTTTTGCTTTTGCAAACTCCTTAGTGGAACTTCTCTCTGCGGGGTTAGAAACATTTAACAGAGCACGGTACCGACAGTTTGTGAAACGAATTGGTCGGCTGATCAAGTAAGAGAATATCTTCTCTGTGGTATGATTAAATCTTTTTCATACAGTCTGGTTTAAGGTTCAGAGCTGCTAAAAAAACCACACCACCAAACAAACAAAAAACCCCAACCGCATCAACCAAAACAAACAAACCAAAACAAAAAACCCAAACAGTTCTTGGCTAGATTTTGCTCTGGGAGTTGGTCAGTTTAGGGTTAGCTGATCTGGGAATCTGAAATCCCAGGGTTCTTGACTCTAAAGCTGCCTGTGAAGGGGGGAATTGCAGAGTCTAAATGCTGTGGGTACAAAGGAGCCGGGTGAGCTGTGGAACACCAGGCTGACTTCCATCGAGGATGTGCTTAGGCTTGTCTTGGAAGGTCACTGATATCCCAACAAACAGTTTCTTGAATCACCCCTATTTATAACTAGTGTTACTGGTTTCTTTCTGTTGTAATACAGAGTTGTTTCAGGGTTTTTTAATTTCCTCCTTGAAAATCCTCATATTGTTGCAGTAAGCAACTGTAATTGGAATCTGAAAGTTGCTCTTCAGTTTCAAATCTCTAGCAGTCACTTGATATGGCTACTAAGAGTGTGTTTTCAAGGGGGATACAGTTAAATCAGAAACAAAATCCATGTTTTTCTTTGTGTTATTAGAGCAGTAACTTTCTCAGTGTAATTATTCTTGTATGAGCTCCTTGCATGTACTGCCACTTCAGAATGTAGGACTACCTTAAAGCTCCAAAGTTCATACACGAACTAATTTGGTATAACAGAATATTATGCATTGTTTGGTTGCAAAACCAAGGAAGGATAACACAGGAATTTTAGACTAACGCTGTCTGAAGAGGGGAGGAATTTGTATGGAAATCTCTGGAAACCGGAGGAGAAAGGGTTGAACATGTCTCTTGTGACTAGACTCTGATCTAGCTGCACTTTCTGTGTTTTTCTGTGATGACATGCTCAATGATCCTTCCTTGACTTGTTTGTTCTGCTGTGTAGGATGACACTTTGTCATGTGAGTGACCACTGGGCCCAATACGTTAGCAGCAATAAACAATATGGATCAGTAGCGCATCCCTACTCTGTGGAAAAATTGCAACTGGAGTTTGATGAGCTGTTTTTTAGAACTGTCCTACATGTTCTGAAGGCAAAAAGGTAGGCTGTCCAATGTGATTGATACTGGCTTCATCTCGGAGGAGTTAGATATTTGAAACTGGGAATTTCAGTAGCTTTAAATACTTAATGGTTTAAAGAAGACTGCAATATGCAGGATTTTTCAGCATATTGGTAGTATTAAGATGGGGAGGAATTACACCTTGAATTCTAGCATCTGGCAGAAGCTGTGTGGACTTGTTCGGTTCAGAATGAGGCTAGCTCAGAATGTGAGATGCTAAGACATATCCTCACATTCCTAATTCTGTTATATGGCAGAGATGTGGGCATATATCTCCTTTTCAAATACTGGGATTTATCAGGGTGAAACTGTTTCTATCTGCCTCTTCAAATCCAACAGGTTGGGAGTCTGGTTGTTCATGTCCGAGATGCCTTATGGAACGTTATCCAGCAACATGCTTTGGAGGCTCTTCTTTGTCATGCACTGTGCGGAGAGCGAGCACCTGGAAAAGCTCTGCTCTACTCTGCAACCTGCTGACTGCAAACAAAGACTCAAAGGTAGAATTCCTTCACTCAGAACCAATTCTCATAGATTCAGCTACTGCTGCATCAGCTATGGGTTTAATTCTTCGCAGGTTTCATTGTTAAATACACCCTCAGCAGCAGCATGACTGGTCCAGAGGCCTCAGAAATGTTTTGGGCAGTTCATGGGCTTCCAATACTTGTTTGACCAAACTCTCATTTTAACAGGAATTGTTTTATCTCCAGTCCTTTTAGTTTTTTCTCTGACAGTGACTGCTACTGGCTGCACCAGAGAGCTGCAAAAGCACCATGCAGTAGGTACATCTTGTGTATTCTCGTATCAGGTCCCATCTTGACCTTTGATAGTATTTGGAGAGTGAGATTTAAATCCTGAAATAAAGAGTTTTGTGTCATTTAGGAGAGCTGTTGACTGTTGTCGACTGTTGAGCTGTTGACTTGTATAAATACCGCAGTCCTCCTTTTCTTTTTTCCCCCTAAACTTGATAGTTTTGGCTTCAGTAACTTACATTGTGGGAGATCTGCTTTCTTCCACAACTACAGATGTTTCCCTTATCTCAAGCCTTCTTTTGATGCTTTTCTTGTCCTATATGCCACCTTTTCTTTCTATTTCCCCTTGACTTCTGTCCTGTGTTGATCTCCACAGTGATTGTGGTGACTTCAGCTATAGCTGAGTTATTTAGAAGCCAGCTGGAATGCTACTTTCCCTTTGCTGCTGCCTTCATGGAAAATATTTCAGGACTTGATTGACAGGGAGACAGGTAAACAAAGCAGTTACTCCCTACTTCACAGCCTCTTTGCTGTCTTCAGGGAGAGCAAATCTTACTCTTAGTCAGTTTTACTGTTCAGCTAGCTGGTAGCCCAGACAGCTGTCACCACATCAACCAAGTCTTTTGATGGCGAAGCAGAAGAAAATGGCGATCTTGAGAGGTTACTGAGCGTATTGACTCTGTAGAAGCTCAGCTAACATTTAAGGCAATTTACGCAGAGTGGGAGAGGGATATCAAGACTGTAGCTGTGTACACTTTATGAAGTGCTCATCTGTTTTGGCGGGCAAGTGCTAATCAGTAACAGTTATCCTGTTTCAGTAGGACTGTATTTTTGCTTTTGCAAGAAGTTTTTACTGCATCTCAAACAAAGAGAATCTAATATGATGTGGTGGGTTGCAGCTCTGACAGTAACAAACACTAAATTTTTTTTGTTTTGTTCAGGCTTTGTTTTGCTTCCAGCTAACTTTTATGTTTTAAAGTCCCTGCTACGCTGATGCAGGATATTTTTATCCCCTCCATTCTCCTTGATGGGTTATGTCAGCACAATATTATTTTTCACAACTGTCTAGACAGGGAATATCAACAGTTTTTTCAGTGAAATCTGTGTAATCTTCTGAAATAGCTTCTTTTGACTAACACCAATATAATGCTGAATTAATTTCCTGTAATTCATACTCTATAAGAGCATGGCATTAACATTCCCTTGGGAGAGAACCTTTTTTGTTGATTTCCCTTCCCAAATTAAGTTTGAGAAGTGTTGAGTGGTGAATCTACAGGTGGTAGCAAGCCTTGGTAACTGATGGAAGCTTTAGGCTTGCACATATAGAGGTGGGAGCATACCTGCTTTTAAGGGATAGGTAGAAATATGATAAAACGGAGTGCAGTGATGAAGCTGCACTTAATAAGATGACTTCTGGACTATGAGATCAAATATAAAATAACCCCCTGGGGAAATATGGGAAGTCCGCTTACTTGAGGTATTCTTGAGTGGACCAAATGTTAATAAATTTACTGTGGGACACACATTTTCACTGACAAGCAATGACCTAGTACTTTCTTCTTGATGTTGGATACCTGTGTGAGTACAAACGTGTTCTCTGTAAGTTTTATAAATACGGGATTAACAGTTCTGTCTTTGCTTCCATTTGCTGAACAACGTTTCTGGTTTCAGTTTCTTTACTGCTGTTACCAAGATTTGAGGAGCCACTGATTTTTAGGGTCTCTCTGAACTTGAATTGTAGTGTGATCGAACGTGCAGAAGAGGAAGTGAATTGGCTCAAGTAGCAACTGTGTAGTGAAGATGTCATTGCTCCACTGTGAGATGATAGGATTTTAGTGGAGTCTCTCTTCTTCCCTTTTCCCTTGTCCCCACCCATCTGTCCCAAGCTATGGCTTGGTGTGGGTTTGAGGTTGGCATGGTGTTTGCAGCGTGTGGAGCCCACAGTGAAGAGGAAGGTGCAGCTGAAGCAGGAAGCTGGGAGATTGCGGAGCTGTGACTGGCAGCAGAGAAGGTCTAGTGCACATGTGCTCAGTAGCTGGCACCAGCCCTCCTCCTTCCGTTTATAGTCTTTGTCCTCAACTTTACCAGATCCCTTTTTGTTCTTCTGTCCCCCTCCAAACCCCTTCTCTCTTGCTTAGCTGGTCTATGCCTAATGAAACACAGATGCACACATCATGGCGCTAATATGACAATTGCTGTCATAGTCATTCGTTACTTGCATGTCCTACCCCTTCCCCACGGTGTGAGTCATTCTGCTCTGCCTTTATATATAGTAATGGCATAGTCTTTTTTTTTGTCCTTCTGCATTACCTTAAAAACCCCAAACAACGACAACAAAAAACATAGTGCTCTGTAACTCCTGATATAAGGGTAAAAGGTAGCATTAGCAAAGGGAGATGAATGGATGGCACATCTCCTGTATGTCTATTGTATTTATCAGGAATGATAGATAGTAGTTTATCTTACCATATGGAAAAACTCTTTACTTAAATTGCACAATCCTCTAGCACACTGTTCATGAGATGTTTTGGTTGTACAAGTCTGACCTTCTCAGGTTGAAGTACAGTTGCAAAATTCTTGAAAGCCCTTAAAATAGAATGTAACCTAAGTGGAAGTGTTTAATCACAAGTGAGCTGAGTGCATGGCTGTGCAGATTAAGTAGTTGAGTGCACAATGAGTGCTTTTTCAGTATATTCAACTGCTATGATAAGATCACTGTAAACAGTGTTTACTGGCATGTTATGCTTCAGAGGAAGCAGGCCACTCTCCAAACCATTTTACAGCTCAAATGCAGCTCTCAGTGCTTGTTTTGCTGCACAGACTCTATTTAAAGTTATTTGGAAGAAATAAAAATTATTTTTAAGTCCTCTTCAGGTTTCTTTGTACATTTCCCTTCCTGTTGTCCCCCACCCTGAGGAATGAAATGTTTATTTGTATTTGGCAACATGTCACGCTTGGCTTCAAAGAGGAAACCTGCCTTGAATTCAAGTGAAAGCATCTCTTAGCCTTCCTGTCCTGTGCAACTTCAGTTCTCTGTTTTCAGAGATATTTTCCAAACAAGTGCATTCAGTAGTTTTCTTGTATTGAGTTTGAGAAACTGAAACAGTTTCTCTGTGACTCTTGGACATAATCTGGGCCCAGGGCTAGACACTTGAAGTATTTTTATTTGTAATCATCATAGAATGATCTCCCCAGTTTAATTGCTGCTTGAGATCATGGTATGTGGAATGGGCAGAATCTCTCAACTTGATCAAAATGTCTCTGCTGTGCTTGGATGGGCTTAGTTTTAATCTTCTCTTGCCTGTGTGCTGATTAAAACTAGAATCCTTTCATATAATTTGGACTTAATCTGTGGAATAATCTGTGGATTTAATCAGCTCCAATATGTAATGGAAGGCAAAACCATGATAACATTTTTGAAAAGCAAAAAGACTCAAGCAATTTCTTCCTGTGGATGATCAACATTGCATATTTAAAATAATATTAAAAATTGAATTCCAGCTGTTCTTGAAGCAGTTTTAGCTTTCATTATGAATTACTAGCGTATTTGCTGAATCATATGGACTCCCTGCATACTATGGTGTTTCTTGCACCTTGTTTTAAAGCAGCTGATACCAGCCACTTCTGAAGAGAGGATACTAACTCAGTGGTGATAATTCCCTTGTCACTGATTCCTTCTCTGGGATTGGACTGTCAGTAAATGTATAAATATCGATGATGTATGTCCTATAACACTTCTTTTATCATGTTTCTTTCATGTGACTTTTTTCTAGACCCAGAGCACCTTGAAAATTTTGAAAAATATCTCAAATCAATGAACTGCTCGGAAGAAATTTGTCTGCTCACCACGTTTGCTCAGATGGCACAAACCAAACGGGCTGATGTTGATGAGGATTTTATCAAAATCATTGTTCTGGAGATATATGAGGTGAGTAATATTACTAGAAAAGGATGAATGTGCTCTTTTCCTTTTTAACAGTGGAAGGTGTGAAACATTCATGGCTTCTGTAGTTTGTTCTACCATGGAACTAAGAAAGCGCTACTTCTGAGGTTTATAATCTAGTACTGAATTAAAATATGCTGAAGTGCATGCTTTTCTGGGAGAAAGAACAGCTTTTCTGTAGGCTAAGCCAGAATGAAACAAATGAACAAAAATATCTTTGTTTTTCTTTACTTTTCTCGCACAGGTCTAACTTGTAGCTCTGAAATTCCTTGTGTGGTGTTTTTTTTTTTGTTGTTGTGGTGTGTAATGGGTTTTTTTATTGTTTGTGGCATTGTTGTTCCTTTGTTCCTATGGTTAGTTTTGAACTTTGTTTTTTGCACTATGACACAATAATTTCGTTATCTTCTAGGGCAATCAGTTTCGGTTTTACTATTGGCATTTATCAACCTCGGTGTCCAGGATCACCAAGAGCAATTTGGTTCTCTATTTTCCAAAAGATATTTTATTGCGGTGTCAGCGGAGGTCAGCCATAACCAGTAACTTCCCTCTGCTCATCTTCTCAGGTGTCTTATGTTAGTCTTTCCACAAGAGAGACATTTTCAAAAGTTGGTCGAGAACTCTTGGGAGCAATTGCCAGCATCCATACACAGATTATTTCTGTACTGCTGGATCGAGTTAGAGAGACCATCGAGAAAGTTGGGATGGTAAGTGCTAATGTCCATCATTTAAAGCAGGCACCCAGTTAAAACTAGAGGCCATACCAGACTGTGTTATAAAATACGGCTTGGTATGAATGGGTTGTGTTAAAGTCCTGTCCATGTTTTTTTGATCATATCGCTCTTGAAGATAGAAGGGCATAATGCTGGTATTGTTCCGTACTGGGTACTGATTAGCCTTTTTCTTTTCTGCCCTCAAAGGTTTCTTTATATCTGTTTAAAGAACTGCCGTTGTACCTGTGGAAGCCTTCTTCGTCTGAGATAGCACTGATTCGTGACTGGTTATTAAATTACAGTCTAACGACAGTGGAGAATAAACTAGCCTGCATTATCTTGGAAGGGCTAAACTGGGGATTCGGTGAGCATGTATGTATTAAAAACAGGAGGCCTGAACCTGGTCAATTTTTCAGAGCAAAAGTATTACTCAGCCTGGGACTATAACTGAATTTAAAAACAGTTAATTACATGCTTTTATATGATGGCTGTACTCTTGATGGCGTAGGATGGGAACTTCACAGTAATTTTGCAGGATTCTGCCTGAGGATTTGCTTGTGCTGCAGCTGAGATTGAGAGATATTTAAGCAGGAGTTTCCTCTCTCTAAACAAGAGGAAACAGCTGACAGGACAATTTTTGTGAGTCACTTGATTAAGATATCTGTGGCTGCAGAAATAGAGGAATCCTTCAAGAAGAGTGTATGAGACTGGTGTGACTGTAGTTTGTAGGCTGATATCAAAGTATGTTTTTCACAATGCAAGAAAACTAATCATTGAAATTAGCATTATTTAAATGATTGGAAAATATTCCATAGAATTGGGTTACTCCAGGAGCTCCATCAGTTCAGAATCCAATCGAGGGTGAATGTTTTTTCAGAGAGAAATAAAAATTAGATTGGGGGAAAAATTCTGTTGCCTGTGTTCAGCGATCCCTTTTAGCATTGTAATCTGTGCATTTGATCGCACTGAACTCTTCTCGCGGCTGTGCTGATACTTGTACATGACGATTGCCTTACTCTTTCTCCCTGTTTCTTGGTGACACGTGAAAACAAAAGAATGGTGGGGAAAATTGACTGTGAGATCTTTGCTATGCATTAACAGTGTCATGTCTGTACCGTTTGATATGGGGAAAAATAGTTCTTTACTGTGGCAATTGGTAAGAGGAATTACTGTGTTTTGATGCAAAAAACATGATAAGTTTTTTTGGTTTTATTTTGTTTTTAAAGGCAAGATTTTTTAGCGTCTCTACTATGCCATCTGTGGATCTTTGGATTAATTGCTATAAATCCACCAAATGCACATGAGAAGTGATTATGGTCACTTTTTTCTGGAAATAATCCAGCTGTTGAGCTTTGTATTGCCCAGTGTGAGCTCTTTATTCTTCAATGTTGGGCCGAAATTTAAGTATTACAATACTTAATCTCTTTCTGGCTGTTCAAATTAAGATTTATTTCTCTGTAGTGCAACTGAATGATACAGTTGTAGAGACATTTTAAATGAGGCAAAATTTTGTGATATGATTCTGTTTCTAGCAGGATGCTCTTCAACTGGATCCAGCTGTGCATTCTGAAGTTGCATTGATGGTCCTGGAAGCATATCAGAAATATCTCTCCCAGAAACCATATGCTGGGCTGCTTTCTGAAAGCATAAAACAGGTATTCCTTCTTCAGAATGACAGGGAATAGCTTATTGATAGTGATAGACAGGAAAAACTGCAGGGCAAGACCTTGTTTTCTTCTTTTCTTTTTAAAAGCTATGCTATCTTGATACTACTAGAACATCATAATACACCAACTCTCAGTATTTTTGTACCCACAGACCTATTTGAAGATACTGTTAGACTTACATTGAACATCTATATGAGAAATAGAAATTTTAAATTTTTCCCCCTTTTAGGTTTGCATTATTAGCCAGCCTGTAGTTGGATAGTTGGAAACTGTTCTTGCAAAGCATCCTTTACTCATGCGGAGTTGGACAGTACTTGCTTAATGAAAGGCTGCTTACTATTACTGGTGAACGTAAGAGACATCCTTCCTGTGTCTCCAGCTTATAGTCTTACCTTATCTAAAAACTCAAGGTTTTAGGAGCTTTTCAGTAGTGATCAGTGCTGTGTTACCTGAACACCCTACAAACATTTATTACATTGATTTTACAGCACACTGGTGACTGAGGAAGGTATGGCTCCAAGTTACAGAAGGGGAATGGAAGGATAGAAAGACAAGGTTAAAAATCCCTTTTTTGGATATTCAATCCAAGATGCTTCTATGTATTTATTTAGAGCTTTTAGCATTGTGTTGTGCTTTGACTTCTCAGTATTTCTTGTACAGTGCTTTCTCCTCCCCTCCTCCCCTGTGCTTTTTTTTCCCCCGTCTTTTCTTCCCACACTTTGAATGTTCCTTAATGTCTCTGTTCTTTTCTGACTTGCTTCTTTGCGCTACTTAGTCAAGGTTTGTTGTCTTGTGCCAGCTAGATGAGTTCTCTTTTTAAGCCTATTTCAGCCTTGGTTGCCACTTGTATTGGTGAATCTGTCCTGACTTGCATGAGCTCAAAGAGGATGAAATATCTGCATTGACTCCCAGCTCTGCAGTTTACATTGCTCTGACAGAGCATGTACAATATTTTTTCCCAAAGATTTATAATTCCTTCAATCTAGACAGGGTCTTCATAATAATGCACACATGTACATGACGCAGAGACTCTGCCTGTCCACATGACAGACTTCTTTCTAAGGAGAGGCTGCCAGGTTTTAGGCTTTTTGTTGACAGATGTTATTTTTGTATATGGATTTTTTGTTTTCCTTTCACTAGCAGTCTTAAACATTACTGAAGGTTGTGTGTGGGTGGTTTTTTTTGGTGTGGGTTTTTTTTTGAGTAGTAAAAATAAAATTTAATCCGAGACCAGTATCTAGTTTGGAAAACGTTAGCCAAACAGTATAGGTTTTACCTAAAGGGATGGGTGGGGGGAGAAGAGAGGTAGAAATCAAGGCCATAGAAACAGAGATTTCAGATAAACTTAATTGATGGTGCTATATGGTGTGTCTGAAAAATAACTACTGTTGCTCTGATCTAGTGTCATGGTATTGTGATAGAAGAGGAAACTCATCCAAGCTGACTCAAGCCCTAGACTAGTACCATACGTGCTGGAGTATGGCTGTGCTTCCTCTCATTCCTGTTCCTGCTGCTTTGTTCCAGGTCTCCTACTTAGCCAGCATTGTTCGTTACGGAGAAACACCAGAGACTTCCTTTAATCAGTGGGCATGGAGTTTGATTTTGAGGTTAAAGCTGCACAGAAATGACCGTGGCATGCAGCACGGCTGGCCCGCAGTCCCTGTGTCTAACAGCGTGCTCGACATGACGGAGTCGGTCACGCTTCACCCCCTCCTGAAGGCTGTTAAAGCAGGCATCCCTGTCGGCTGTTACCTGGCACTGGCAATGACCACGCTAGGTCACAGGTGAGTGTCCTTTTTCGTGTTTGCCTTGGATGGATGGCCCCAGCAACCTACCTAATGATGAACTGAGGGCTATTAACATCTTTATGCTTGTTTAAAGAATAAAGGACTTCTGATGCAAGGGATTGAGCAGGCTTTCAGGGATTGTAGTTCCAAACAACGTGCCGTTTTCTTTATTTTCCTAGTACTGTATTTTTGCCTTCTGCACCTTAGAGTCAAAATAATAATTAGAAATAATACTGAAACTGAGGGATTAGAATGATTGCTATGGATGGGAATAACTTTTAACCACACTTATTGAAAGGGTTGTTCTACAGGTAATTTTTTTAGCAGGGCTGCAGCAGAGCATTCAGAAAATAGTGAGGAGAAAAAAACCGCTCATGCTGGTAATGATAAATAGAGAGCTTTATAACCTTGATACTGAACCTCCTAGCCCTGACTGTGTTCCAACACAGTCTTTTCCAGTGCTTTCAGCTGGTTTGTAGGTAAGGCTCTTGGACATAATCAAATGTATTAGTTGATTAAAGTACAGAGCCAGGCATAGATTAATCAATCTCTCCCAGCTCTATTTTCCCTGAATCTGTCATCTCTTTAATTATCTCTTACTCATATTAAAAATCTTGACTAACTTGTTTTCTGCACATAATACTGTTTTACTCTTTAAAGAGAAATTGTCTTGGCTTTCTTTTCCTTCCCCCAGCCATTGCTTGATGCTGAGGTTATGCCACAGATACATACGTGCTTCTTCAAAGCACTAGAGTGATTTGAGACTGATATGAAGGTATTCTGGTTTGAGAGTGGAAGTTTTTTACGTGACTTTGAGCATGGAATGAAAAACAAGAAACCTCTTTGCTTCTGGGTGTTTCCCCTCCCCTCCCCCCCCCAAACACTCTGTTTGTCCTTGCAAAGAACCATTTGATATCCATCTCCTATCTAAAGAATAATACTGATATTTATCACACGCACTGATATTTATCACTAAGTTATGTTAGTGAGCAGAAAGAAACAAAGCGGTGTACTGTATGCTAGTGACTTAATACAATATTTCATTTTAATGACCTCAGAGGAGACATAGGATTAATGTTTTACATCTTTTCCTAATGTGCAACCCTTCTCAGTTAGCAAAACTTGATGCAGAGCAACGTACCAAATAAGCTGCTGCTAGTGAGTTTTCTGGACAGTAAGAGTAGGATTAATCTCAGCTGACTGCAACCATCTAAATACCTACTGTAAGGAAACCCTCTGAGGTCCATCTGTAGGTAGTGAAGAAAGATGTCCAGAGCATCATCCAACCTGAGGAGGTGTCAAAGCTAGGTAATATGAAACTCCCCCTGTAGGTTCTTCCTTTGCCTGGAGAGGGAGGCTAGTTGGCTAGGTTAGGCGAGAACCCTGAGCTTTAAATTGTTTGAAACTTGATGGATGAAGACCTCCCTCTCCAGTGATTTTTGGAAGATAGGACACAAACCCCCAGAAGGACGGGAAATACTTACCAAATCTGTCAGCAATTGAATGACTCCTACAGCTGAAGAAAAAGCCCTGTGGATTTAGCTGTTTAGGATTTCAAAGATGAAGTGTAAAGATATGAATGTCTTTACACCTCAGTTCGTGGGGAAAAAAAAAAAAATCAACACCCTGTCTCCCTTTCTACTGATAGTAGATAATGTATTCTTCCTTGTTAATTTTGTTTGGTTTTTTTTTTGTTTTTGTTTTTTTTTTTTATTTGACAGCATTGAGAAGTTCTGCGCTGAAGGGATCCCTCTTTTGGGTGTACTCGTCCAGTCTAGATATCTGAGAACAGTAGTCCATGTGCTGGATAAAATTTTACCCTTATTTTACTCTTGCCAGTATTATCTCTTGAAGAATGAACAGTAAGCATTATATGTTCCTAATATGTTTATTGATAAAGAACAATGAAAGTTAATCTTAACTGTTAAATTTATCAGGCTTCATTCTGGGTTTTCCATCCAGTGAGAATGTGATGCGGATGATGGGGAAGTATGTCTGGTTTATTTGCCGAGTTACTTTTTGACGTTAGCTGTGGTTGAAGAAGTAGTCGTAGAAGTGTCTCCTACTGACCTCACATGTGCCATCGTCACTGATGCTGCTGTTGTGCCACAGAAGTGGTCTTCAGACAACTGTATTGACAAATAGCTGTTGTAATTAGTTGAGCGAGAAAGATAAGCGGGCAATAGTATTTAGCCGTGTTCTTACTGGTAAGTTGAGCAGCTGGGAGTGTACTCAAGTGCTGGACCTCAGCTGTCTGTCCTGGTAAATTAGTAATGTGGTCCCTGGGGTGCTTTTGGCTTGGACCACCTGGCAGTTTCCCAGACAATTCCCAGACTAGCTTTGGGTGCCGATGTGGATCAAGAACTGTATTCAGTCCTGATTTGCTGCCCGGAATTACAGTCTGCCGTGCACTGCTCATACTGTGCCTATGATACGGTTAAAATGGAGCAATTAAACCTGCAGCATGGTTGTGAATCAAAGTCCTCGTATATGGGTGTCACCAGTGCTGTTGAGCTGGTTTTAAATTTTCTAGAAGTAGCTTTTCTGTATATTATGCTGTAGGAGAAATTTTAGAATTTCATTTAATTTGTTGACATCCCTAGGTTTTTATCTTACATCCAACTGTTCCTTCATCTGGATAGTGGAGTCCCTCAAGGCGTGACCCAGCAGGTTACCCATAAAGTAACACAGCACTTGACAGGAGTGAGCTATGGAGAAAATGTTAAGCTGCTCAGTAGTATGATACAGGTAAGAAGATTATTTAAAAAAAAAAAAAAAAGGGGAGGGGGAGTTTTTTAGAAACAGGTAGGCTTTTTTGACTGAGCTAGTGCTTAAAGTTAGAAGAAGGATACTGAATCTGGCAGTTGTGCAGCCACGAGGTACGAATAGTTGGGTTTGGTTTCCACGTAAACTTGCCTAAATCTGGCAATACATGTGATGTTGGACATAACAACAATATGTGCCTCCCAGACTTCTTGGAAAACACATTTTCTAATACCAGGTCAAAACTGCCTAAAAAGGGAATGTAATATGCAGCCCTCCTTTCTCGCTTGTGTTAGTTGAGGAATGCAGCAGATATATTAATGTTCGAAAGCTTTGCTTTTGACCATTGATTTATGGCTAGGCTACGAAAAAAATTTCCTGTGTTAGGAAACTAATATTTTTTTCTAAATGCAGAGAGGTCAAGAACCAAGGCCCACTAACATTAGAGAGGGGTAAGGACTAAAGGGAAACATACGTACTCTGGGAAGTCCTTTTTCAGGAACAGCAGGCTACGCTTCAGAAATAGGTGCCGTTTATACCTGCAGGTCGCAGGGGTCCCACTTACGGCTTTTGCTCTGTTTCTGCTGATTGCATAAGATGCTCAGCTCCCCAGGCTGCAGAATCTCTTACGGAGGTTGGAGACGACAAGCTGTTTTTACGTAGGCATAGAGAGCATCATCGTAAATAATTTATTTTAAGGATAGGCCCACAGCCTTATGCAAGTTAAACAGTTCTTCAATAAATTCTTATCCTTTAATTGAAGCTGCAATCTCTTGAATAATTTTACCCTTTAATGTGGCAGACTCACATTTTTCTAAGTGACCAGCCACATGGAGTGGGGCCGGCTGCGGTACTGGAGTTCTGGGTTCAGGTCCTCACCAGCCAGCAGCTGTGGCACAGGGACCGGGCAACACTCTTCTTGCTGGATGACTTATGTAAAGCTGCTTTTCAGTACAGTCAGGAGGACTGTGTACAAAAGCTGCTTTACCAACAACACAAGGTAAATGGGTGTGATATGATGGTGTGGCTATTGAGTAAATGGTCAGTCCATGTGTTGCTCTTTCTAATTTTGATGCGAATGTATTTTCCTGAAATGTAACAAGAACAATCATGATTGAGCGGTAATGGGGTTATGTTATCTAATTTGTTTCTGAGTAGATTGATTAGTGAAATATCTGATATTTGAATAACAATAATAATAATAACAGTAAGAATTAAAACCTGTTTGGAATACAGGTTATTCACATGAGTTCTATCATAGTATATTAGTTTGTGGTCTTTGCATTTCAAATGCTGCATAGTGTATTTAGAACAAAAGTAGAGCTTCCTCTCCTGAAAAACAGACACTGTCACTCTAACAGAATCTTTTCACTGAAAAAGAAATAAAGTACAAGCAGGCATTTCAGTAGTGGCTGGCTGAGCTAAGGTTGGGAAGTGAGGCAGAAAGGAACCTGGATGAGGGTGGAGTGACATACCTGTAGCTTGTAAATCATCTCTTAGGCTGCTTACAAAAAAACCCCAAATGTTTTCTGTTTCCGTGCAGAACGCTTTGGGCTATCATTGTGACAAAGGTCTGCTGTCTTCGCTTGTTAGCTGGATTGTGGCAGGCAATGTGACACCTTCCTTTGTTGAGGGCAATGCCAATTCCTCTCAGGTAAGTGGTATGATGGTGTTGTATGAACAACCCTGGGATAAGCAATATACAGGTGTCTAGGTTTTTTTCCGCTTTTGCAGGTTTTTACAGATTTTACTTTTGTTCTCTCTTTCTTCCTACCCCTGTGTTTGTGAGTTTTCTTGTGATGAAATCCTAATTTAGCCTAAGAGAATGCTGTGGGTTTATTACACTAACGGGAACATGGATGTTTTGCACAGAGAAAGTTTGTCTGATCTGTGTCCAAGAATTCATATAATACGATTTATTAGTTAAGATTTCTTTTAATCTTCAATTGTTCTTGATATGCTTAATTAGAGAAAATACGTAAAGCCTGACTCTTCTATTAGATCAGTCTTTTTCTGATAAATATTTTGAATACCAGTTGCTTTTTCTCTGCTTAAGCAAATTCCTCATTTGAGCAAAAAAAAAAAATCCTGCAGTCCCCCAACTGGAGATGTGTAGTGCAGATGGGAGAGAGATCTTGTTTGAGCAGGTTGTTTCCTCTGGATAATTCTATCAGTTGTCCCTGGTTTCCCCCTTCTTTCCCAAGATTGTACAGAATACAAAGGGGATATTTGCATGTAGTAAGGAGGAAACTGGTTTTCAATTTTCTTGCTGAGATATGATACTGGTTTTGCAACTTTGTAATGAGAATCTAGCAAAGACATGTTCCTCTTAAGAAAACAGTAAGCTTCCCCATCCTGCCCCTACCATTTTGTTACCAATGTTTCGGTTATTACTTTGTTGTGCAGGTCTGGTTTTCATGGATGGTGTTAAATATGGAGTCAATATTTGAAGAAGATTCACAGCTTCGCAGAGTTGTGGAGGGGGAGTTGGTTATTAATGCTTTAACTCCTGATCAAGCTTTGAAGGTGAGAGAACTGTTCCTCTGCTTTTATCAGAGAGAATTGGAGAAAAATGTTCTCTTGTATTGTTTAGTTTTTCTCTCATGTGCTTTTTCTTACCAAGATAAAAACATAACTAATGCTTTATATGATTGGCTTTCCAGGAGAAAATATACCTCAGGGAAACTTTCCTTTACATTTTGAGTTGAATGTTTAAAAACTATGATGCAAATACCTGTTTTTTAATATACCATTACTTACAGTCACTAATTAGTGGTCCTGCATGATTTTCTGGGTCATCTGAATGCCTCACGATCTTCAGTGGATTTATTCTATACCACTGAGATGGGGAGTGCAGATACTCTTATTTTACAGGTGAGAAAATGTGTCTGTCTTTCAAAGAGCATTTTTCACATGATCTGAGTTTTGCAGAGGTTTGGGCTTTACTTTTCTCTGTATTTGCTGAATTATTTTCCAAGACTTTTAGAACTGTTTAGGTCTCTCCCTTAACAAGACGCTTAGTCAGGCGTGCTTTAAGCCATGTTGCAGCATTTTCCAGGTTCTTTGCCCAAATTCATTTAGAAATTCTGGAATGAAGCAAGTGGAAACCAAAGCTGTCCAGTCGCAAAGCGTAACTTTTGGCCCATCCTTCATCTCAACTGTTTCAGTGTGTTTTAATGAAGAAGGTAGTCTAGAAGCTCTATGAAAATAGGTTTGCTTGGGCTATGTCCAGATTGTACATGTCTTGCATCCTTGGAGACTAGTCTGGAGAACATTTGTCCCTTGGCTTGCATGTCTCGATTTACCTGGAAAACAGTGAGATAGTATGTGGGGAGTGTGTGGAAAAGGGTGCTGAGGGTTTCCGGGGTCTAGTGTGGGTGATGAGGTAGTGCCAGGGTCTGCGCTGAGACCTGGGAACTCAGAAAAGTCTCCCCTTCCCTGCTTTAGGCACAGTCCATGCGAGCTTGACGTATGACTTAATGATTTAGTGTGTCTGTGGAGTAGCGTTCTGTGTTGCTAATACGGAGTGCTGCTGCTCATACGTTGCATTGCCTTTGTTCTCGTTTTTCAAAAAGAAAAATAATTTTTTTTTTCTTCTGTATTCTTTCTTCGCATTAGTTTTACTTTGTTTTAGATTTTCAATAGGGCTGTGTGGAATGTAGTCTGGAAAAAGTGAAAAGTGGTAGCAGGCTGTAGGATTCTGTGTCCTCAAATGGCTTAAGACTTATTTTTACTGGTTGGAACGTGCTGTGTGCTTCACTGCTGCTGCTTTGTTCTGTAACACCACCGGTCTATGGAAGCCTAAAACAGGAACATCTACCTCTGTGAGGAAGAACAGTAATTAAGTGTAACTAACATCAATGGGCCGTATGTTGGCCTTGCATCACAGTAGCCCTTCCATTCATTCTATATTTTTTTTTTTTTGGTAAGCATCAGAGGTGTAGCACTGCTCTTTAGCAGCTGTCCAACACCACTGTGAGCTGGGCAGCTCTTCTGCTAAGACCTGTAACAGATGTGTGAATGTTTCCAAAGTTTTCTCCTCCATAATTGCTCAGTTTTCACGCTGTGTTAATCTGTTGGGTTAAGCTGTGACAGCCTGTTACAAGGAACAACAGGAGAACGCTTGTCTGAAAATGTTCTTTTTGTAGAAAGCACAGACCCAGCTGAAGCTGCCCATCATACCTTCCCTTCAGAGGCTCATGATTTACCGCTGGGCTCACCAGGCCCTTGCTACCCCTGCCGATCACCCTCTCATGCCGCTAATCTGGCAGAAATTCTTCCTCCTTTACCTTCACCGACCAGGACCACAATATGGGTGAGTCTGATCACAAGAGCTTTAGCAGAATAGCAAGCACTAAGAAGTTTGCACTGCAAGCGAGATTAATAAGTGCTTCACACTGAGACTGTGTCTGAAAGCGGTGGGTACCAGCATCTTCTCTAAAGAGTCAATTTATTTGCAGAGATGCTGATTTGACACTTGCAACAAGACTTTGTTGTGCTTTTTTGTTCATTTTTAGATTACCTGTAGATGGCTGTATCGGAAGACGTTTTTTCCAGAGTGCGGCTCATATTAACTTACTGAATGAAATGAAGCAGCGCTTAATAGAGGTAGCAGACTTCCACCATGCTGCCAGTAAAGCACTAAGAGTGGAGAGTCCCGCAGAGGGCAGTGACAGATCACCAGAGAAGGCGAGCTGCTCATCAGATTACCTGACTTCACCAGAACTGCATAAGGAACTTGTCAGGTAAAAAAAGCCTGCCCAGTTCAATCTTATTCAGTGCAACCACCTGAGCAACGACTAGAGCATGGTCTTAGCTGTGGGAGACATGAAGGGATGTGACCCTTGGCTAGATGTACTGCAGGCACTTGTTATATCTGGTGGTGAAATCTGTTTCTCTGTTGATAGAACTTTTTTTGTTTGAGGTGGAGCTGATTTTACTACTAAAAATAAAACATTGTTGATAGAGTTGTCCTTAGGGGAGAGCTTTGCTTTTTCATTAATGACATCCCCATACTGGTAAAATATTTGTTATTTAGACATATCTGCTACTGGTATGCATATCACTAGCTATAAATTTGAAGTGCTACTTTGTGTGTATACATCTGTTTGTCACAGACTAGGGCCCAAACTTAAGTCTGAATAAGATTACTTCTTCAGGGAATTTACTGGATATTTCAACACACGATTTAATTAGTGCAGTTTACCCAGTTACCATTCTAAAGTTGAGCTGTGAAAAGTGTGTTCTGCCCCAGCTGGAAAGTGATATGTTTCCTTAACCAAAACGTTAGCACAAGACTGTCTCCTTGTGTTGGAGTAGGCTAAGGAGATGTGCATGTTCATTCACTGCAACTCGGTTGATGAACACTCATTTTTGGAAGGAGTGGTAACTTCTAAGAGCCACGTATCTCATGCACACTGAAACTGTAGCTATGTTGTTCAGAAGTCCGTGGTTCTGTTACACAGAGACTTTTGGTTTGAGAAGTCTACCTTAAGAAATATTTGCAGTATTACACGATCTGGATTTTCCTAGAAACTGTAGTTGAAAGGATTATTTGGGGAGAGTCCCTTGTTCAGGGGGTTTGGGCGTACAGGATCTGAGCTGCTTTTAAGTGCTTCCCCCCCAGTAATCAATAGGTACTGTACAAACAAGCAAGGGAAATCATAAATCCTCCTCGGTCATATGTGAAAAATAATCCAGAGATGCTCACTGGGTGGAACTTGATTAATATTTTGTCAGCCTTTCATCTCAAAGGAGTTCTCCACTCCAACATAAAACCAGACTGCTCTATAGCCAAGTAAATCTTATGCTCAGGAAGTTTAATGACCACCTAGACAGGAGGGAAGATGTTGATTGAGTTCATAAGGGCTGACTCTTAGAACTTGACTACTTCCATTTTTTCACCAATGACACTGATACAGAAAACAGGAGTTTGCTAGTGATATTTAATACCATAGTGCAAAGCTTTAATGGTATTCTAGTGCTCCCTTGTATTTAATCAGGAAAGCTTGGATGATACAATTATAAAAAAGGTACCCCTCAGTAGAGTGATGTCAGTTGAAGAAAGAAGTATATTTATGTTAAAGTACAGTGTTAGCAGAGGAGGAAATGGGAATAAACTGGCCATGAATTTGAGTCTGACAAGAAATTAAAAAATGTAACTCAGGTGTGAGCTTTTAGAGCAGGCACTCTACAGAAGTCATGGGGTGAGAAGCCAAACTTGCTCAGAGGTACTCTTTTTTTTTCTTTTCTTCATTGGTCTTTTGAATGGGGTTGTCAATATGATTCCCTGATGTAAGAGACACTTCCAGTCCTGGGTCATGTTTGCTAATTTGCATAAATGTTTTCCTTTTCAAAATTTGTCCTGTTACTCTTGGTTATTGCCCTTCATGTTTTTCTAAATAGCTTCTTTCCACTGCTCGTCTTTGAACTGACACTTAGTACACTAGTCACAAAGCATCTGAAACATCTACGTTTTGAGATGTGTCACCTTGTAGCATGATTTGTTGCTTTAACTCTAAACCCCAGAATGAGACTGCTGTGTAATACATACTATGCATACTATACATACAATTAAAGTTCACATTGATTTATTTTTTTCCTTTTTTGGTTTCTCTTCTCAGGCTTTGTAATGTTTTTGTTTTGTGGTTGGAAGAAGAGAGTTTCCAGAAAGGAGACACATACATTCCTTCTTTACCGAAGCAGTATGATGCACATAGACTTGCCAAAGTCATGCAGAATCAACAGGTGAAGTGCCAATGACATTGGCAATCTGGGATCCTGTGCTATCCCAAACCGTCTTCCTTTATATTTGAGCGAGGACTCATGAGCAGATTTCTTGCATATCTTAATGAGAACACAGTCCTTATTCTGTACTGTTCTGTAATTCTTTTTATGTTCTAAGATAATTTTAGAGAATTATTGAAGTTGGAACTTTAAATGACAAAAGACCAGAAGCCGAAATCTGCTTATTTTGGTAGTCTGTAATACGTCAGGTTCAGATATAAGTTAGCGAGTGGGAAGCATATATTATTCTGTCTAATAAGTCTAAAGAGTTAGTATAATTAAAAAACCTGTGAGAGGAGAGATTTTGGAAGGGCATTTTCTCATGCCTGCTTTGTTTTTATTCCTTCAGTGTATGTGACTACTAGAAACGCAGCCTGCTTTAGCCTGATGGCAGTTAATCACGCCATGATGTTTTAGTCTGTTTTGTTTTCCTCTGTGTTCCTTTTGTAGGAACAGAGTTTTAATAATCTGTACCCTTTCTGTCTTATTTGTTAGAAATTGTATCGTGTGTGCTTGTCAGATTTCTTCTCTAAGTGTCACAAATGCTTTTCAGTGGTTTATCTGTATATGTGATAAAAATTCTGCAGCTTTTTTCTTCAGTATAGAATGTTTTTTTTTTTCCTAGTAATAATTTTCCTGTGACTTAAAACTGCGGGGTCTAGTTTTACGTACTTATTTTAGTTCCCCAGCTACTGGGATGAATGCACAATATATGGTACTGACCAAAATGGGAATGATAACTTAATTCTTCTGTGCTTTAGGATTTGTGGATGGAGTATGTCAATGTTGAACTCATACACCATGAGTTTCAGGAAGCTCTAAACCTTTGGCTGCCGGTTCAGCTTGAATCACATACAACCTGTGTTTCTGCAGGGCAAAGAGATTTCACCAGCCCTTTATCAGGTAAGAGATAATAATATTGTTAATGAAACTGGGCCAGAAAGAATTATTAGTATGTTGAAGCCCTGGTTTCTTTAGGAACATAATAAAGTATGTGAATAAAGATGTTAATACAGTTTGTTTTCTATGGGTACAGTATTTTGCATGAAGTTTTCATGGTGTTCTCACTATGTAGGAGGCTAACATCCATGTTTTTGGTTTAAAGTTTGCCGCATCACAGAACAGCAGGTCGTATTAAGCCTAGAGCTTCATGGGTGAGCTTCCCAAAGATTCCTCTACACAGAGCATACTCCAGACAGGTGGAATTTTCCCAAAGTTTAGATAGAGACGGCTGCAAGCGAAGGCAAAAACCATTGTAACTGAAAACAGAAAGATTGTTTCTGGTTTTGTTTCTTTTTGTTGTTCCCAATGCCTTTCCTTGCTGTTTCCCTGGAATTTTAGTGTGGTGAAAGGGTTGTTCTAGCACAGAAGGGGATAATACTCATGGTAGGTATTTTAAGGATATGATGAGATGGGATTTTTTTGGGGCTGATTAAAAAAACGGAGGGAGGGAATAGAAGGAAACTAGAATAGTTTCATAGGTGAATTGGCACTGTTTGAGCAAAGGAACTGAATGGGAATCAGCAGGAGGAGAGACCTGACCTGGAGAGAGGCTGTGCTTTGTGAGGGAATTGGAGCTGACAAGACTAGAGACAAGGATGAATTGTAGGGAAGGGAAGATGAATTTGGCTTAGCAGACTGGGTCTGGGAGCCTCTGTCAGATGTGGGGAATAAATGGGGTGTTAAGAGGAAAATTGGAAAGGTAGAAGGTAGGAGTGTCTGGGGAAGCAATGGAGCCTTGGGTCCTAATGTTTGTGTGATGGAGCTGGTCATGAAAATTAGCTGTGTGAAATAAACTTTGTCAACAAAACCAGGAAGATTAGTTAAGTGATTTTTTTTTTTTTTTTTTTAAAAGGGAGGAATCCTGCGAAATACGTCTGCTGCTAAAAATGTTTCATGCAAAAAAGTTTTTTGTTCAGTTTCTCCTAAACTTTTCTTATTGACAAAACTTGCTTTTGCTTTCTTTTCTAGCCAAAGAGAGGATAATGAATAATTTGAAGAAGTTTGATACTCCCAGGCCCCTTCTTCCGCTCCAGACGATGAAAGCTCCTGTGCCAGTTATTTCCTCGGCCAGTCTAGTAAGTCAGAAAGAAGCAATTCAGCTCATGCGCATGGACCTTAACGTCTTGCAGCGACATGCCAAGTAAGACATAGCTGTTTTCCTTCTGCCTGACTAGCGTGTCTAGCAGTGTCTTCAGGTGCCCTTTACAGCAGCCTCGTTTGTGGTGTTGGCACAAGACTGTCAGTACTTGACTTCTGCTTCTTGTCTCAGGTTTTTTTTTCTTTTTTTTTTCTTGGCTATCATGTTATTATTCTACTCCTTCAACTAAGATAAGAGTATACAAGTCTCATCTAATGACTGAGATTACATCAGCTGACATCTAACTTCTACTATTTCTTTTCTCATTTGTCATACTTCTTAAAATAAAGCCTATTTGTTGACAATAAGTTAGTTAACCCTTTTGCACTAAGGTAGTAGCTGCAGTGTGAAGCAGTGGAACCGCGAAGAGAGAAATCTGATTTCTGGGACTATTAGCTTGTGTGTGAAAGAGAAGATACTTTGTTTTTAATATTCCTACTAAGAGAATCCAGCTGAAGTATTTTCAAACACAGCTGATGAATCTATAGCTGTTCTTGCCCAACGTAGTCATTTAATATCAATATTATTATTAAAAAAAACCCAAAACCCAAACAAAAGAAAACCCCAAAACTCGCTAAGCCCAAGAGAGGATGTGTCTAAACAATTCCAGCAGCAATTTTAGGTGGGCTTTTTTTTTGTTGACTGAATCATCCCACAGTCCAGCTTTTTTTGTCTGGTGGAAAATTGCATTTCCTACAGAGGGGGATCTATTTAATTTCCTTCCAGGTTGTCATATAGAATGATTAAAAAGAACTCATGCAGACTTGAGTAGGTTTGTTCTTATGAACCTATTTCTTTATTACTTTGAAGTGCTATTACTTTGAAGTTTTAAGTCAATTTCATTTAATAACCTTTTATGTTTTCTAGGAAAGTGTCACGAGTCTTTGTACAGCACGTTACACTGAACGTAACACTGAGTGTAACTCATCTCTTGCTTATAAATTCTTAGCATTACTTTTTTCAGTAAAGATTTTGGTAACTTTATTATTAATAAATGCTTTTCAGAACTGCAGCTCTCTGGGAATCTCAGCATGTTGCTCTCAATAGTGAGATATTGGACACAGTACCTAAGCTCTACGTCAATCGGGAAGAGCAGATCACCCTCCATTTGGAGTGCCGGGGAACTTCAAATAAAGGGTGCCAGGGAGCAGCTCTTCTAACAATCCAGGTTAGAGACATGGCATCACTTCTGTTTTGGGGCTGTGGATAAAGAAAGTGAAATGACTGGTTACAAGAATGGTAGCAGTTGACCAAATAAATCCATACACACATAATAGTTACCTGAAATACCTAATATGTAATGCTCAAAAGGGGATGCAGATCAACAGCTGGAGAATAAGTTGTTGAATAAAATTTGTTTTGTTCATAGCATCCATTCTAAACTGCTTCCTGATTTGTGAATGTAGGAAATATGCTTACTGATAGGAGTAGAAGCATGAAAATGTTTATAGAAATATTCCCATGTTGTTTGGTGTATGAATTTCTTGATTCCGTCTAAGTTTCAGTCCCTGTGGATTTACAGTCTTACATAAAAGACGTGAATTACGTTAGTGTGTGATAATTAAATAGGAACATGACCAAAAATGTGTGCTTGGGCACCATGTACTAAATCTGATCAAAACTCTCAGGGGAAAACCCTCTATATTCAGAGTTCTCTTACTGGGCTCTGCTTCATTTTTACAAATAGGTGCAACATGGAAGAATTTTAGCAAGAGATATTATTCTGAAATGAATATGTGTCTTTTTGTCATTTAGTTTGAAGGGAAACATAAAAATGAAGCAGTGAGCCAGCAGCTTCATGCTTTGCGTAAAGAAGTGAGACAACTGCAGGCAGAAGCTACGAAGCCACCTTCTCTGGGTGTTGTGGAAGCAGCAGTACATGTGGAAAATTTTATAACGTAGGTTGTTCAGACACTGTTTTAGGTAGTGATGTTTTATATTTCTTTTTCTGTATATTAGAGTTAAAATGTGGAACTTGTTTGTGTGTTTTTCGTAATGCTTATCAGCTTGGGTCAACAACAGAGCTGGAATCCTGAGACCTGTATGTTTGTGACACAGACCTCTAAAGGAATAACTCTGTATTATCAGAAGAGCTAACTGCTGGTCATTCAGCCTCCGCAGGGCACACAGTATTGTTTTCCACTTCAAATTATTGTACTGTATGTTAGAATAGCCCTTCTAACCCTGCAAAAGCACGCTGAGTGATGATAGGGATGCTATGTTAAACTTCAGGAAATGGCAAACTTGTACCACAGCTGTTTCAGCCATAAGCTAAACTATATGTTTTTTAATATATCTCTGTGTAGGTTTTTCCCTCTAGTAGTCAGGACATAGTTCTTTAATAGAGAGTTATGAGTTGAAGTAGCTTTCCAATATGTGAAACAAAATCGTTCAGTGGAGGAGGACTATATAATATCACTTTTTTGGGGGGAGGGTGAATAAATGGATTTGTCCAAGGCCCTCTTCCTCTTGAAGGCCTTCTAGAGCTCATCCCAGAGGTCCAGTTTTGCAACACCATTCTTCTCAATCTTTTAGACTTCTGCTGGGATTCTTTTAGCGTAGTTGGTTTCCTACAGATTGTACTCACTGTACAAGTAAAAATATTTGGTTATTATTTCCTACACGTTCATTCTTGATCGTTAATCTGAAAAATTCTGTGGATGAGCTGGTTCTTGGGATTTACATCTGTGGAATTGCATGTTCTTCATGTTTTAATTCAGACTCAGTGAAGATGGGTGTTTGAGCTCAATAAAACATTTATTTGGCAATACACAGGAAAAGATTGATTCTGTTTTAATTCTTTTATTGCTGAGCCTGTTAAGTAAAATGAGGTGAATTTTCTTGCAGTACAAATGTAGTTGAGAATGGCCTAAGAACATGACGAACGCGTGATTTTGAGGGAGAAATAATGTATTGGAACTGTGCTGTGAAAAATCTTTTGATGATCACTTTCTGACTGATTAAGGTTTGGAGGTACCCATTTCAGGCAGCAAAATTACTTGAGCTAAACCTGGGACTGTTCAGCCTGGATATGAGAAGGCTCAGGAGGTTCTCATCAATGTATGGAAATACCTGAAGGGAGGGTGCAAAGAAGATGGAGCCAGGCTCTTTTCAGGGGTGCCCAGTGATAGGACAAGAGGCAGTGGGCACAAACTGAGACGCAAGAGGTTCCCTCTGAACATCAGGACACACTTTTTTTACTGTGAGGGTGACACAGGCTGTCCGGAGAGGTTTTGGAGTCTCCATTCTTGGACATGGACAAAAGCTGTATAGACACAGTCCTGGACAACTAGCTGTAGGTGGCCCTGACTGAGTAGGGGGGTTGGTCCAGATGTCCTCCAGAGGTCCCTCCCAACCTCGATGCTGTGACTCTGTGAAACCGTGCTCGATTATCACGTAAGCCAGAAATACCCATCTGTAGGCTATATATTGGCAAGAAACCTTTCTTTATTATCACAGATTATTTTCCATAGGTAAATTTAATCTGCCTTTTCTTTTTCTTTTTTTTTTCCTCAGGGCCTTAATAAATATCTACAAGGTGCAGCCTATGCCTGCAATTAAGAAAGTCGGAATTAGTTTGTTTTTTACATTAGTGGAATATGTGTGCGATGAAACTCAACGCAATCCTCCCACAAGACAGTTCTTCACGTCCTGCATTGAGATTCTAGGCCAAGTGAGTTTATTCTCTGATTTTTGGATGCCTAATGCTTATCCCAATTGCCTGCTGATATTGGGGGTCTAAAACATTCAGAAGCCTGAAAATTAACTTCTAAGTTTCTATCCCATTTTCCTTTCAACTAATTGTATAATATACACAGTCTTTAGGAGAGTTTAAGCTTGCATATAAGCAAAATAAAAACTGTTGCTCTGAGATGCCTGCTTGTGTGAATGCTCGCTGTGTTAGTTAAATGCTAAGGTAGGCTGTATTTTTGGGCAGGTGACTAAAGTTTGGGTACTTCCGGTGCGTAAAAGAGTGTTTTGGCATATATTTTGCTGCTACAGATCATTTTCTAGCTGACATATATCTCGTCAACCTCTGTGTTTAGATACCTCTCTTTTACAGCCTTGCAATAAATATTCTTTGTGTAGAGTTAGCCAGAAGTTTGCTTGTTGTTGCATAAGTGCTTGTTGCTTTTGGTAATATTTGCCATGGGGAACACATTATGTGGGTACTCTGAGAAAAAGAAAGCATTAGCCTCTGCTTTGGGTCCAGGCATTTCTTTTCATCTCTTAAATGCAATTTGTTTCCATGTGCAGCTGTCCTTAAGCACCTCTAACAGCTGAGGTGTTGAAGAGCTCTCCACGGGCATAGTTCTGTTTAAACTTTTCTTAATGTCAGGAGGGCTGCTGAAATCTGGATTCCTTTTCTTTTGTTAACCCATCAGAAAAAATTGGATTTCTAGGTATTTTTATGCAAGTGTGTGTGTAGTCACAAGTGCTGTTCTTAAGTGTGCTAGGGAAACGTGTATTTTGCATTGTATTTTGTGGAACAGCAGTATTTAGTTGATCTCATACAGTGTGTCATTTTTGAGAAAACTTTCTTTTTTTAAAAGGACCAAAAATTGTGCTTGTCTTGACAAAAAGGTCTAAGTTTGTGGTTTTTTCCCCAATAGATTCATACTAGGCTTTTTTTTTTCTCATCATTCCCAATTCCCTCAGGTGTTTGTCAGTGGGACCAAGTCAGAGTGCAAGCGTCTCCTCCAGACGATCCTGCAGAATCGAAGGCTCTGTACTCTTCTTTCTCCTTACTTCACTCCTGTTGCCTCTCCCAATGAATTTGTGACCTTATACGAAAAAGTCGTGGCCTTTCTGAGTGAGGATAACAGTGATGTTGTCTTCATGCTGCTGACAAAGGTAAAGTACTCGTGAATTCTGCGTCTGGTTTGTGGGTTGCTTTTGTGGGTGTTCTTTCCCTGAAGAATGTGACTTTATGCTGGGGAAGAAAGAGGTGCAAATCTGGTACTTCAAAAAACAACATTGACAGGTTCTATAGATCTGTGTTGCTCATCCTGAGTGGTATGTGTTGTATTTAAGCTCAAGAGGGGCTGGAGGCGAAAGCAAATAGGAAGCTTAAGCTACCCTTTCCTAGCCCAGATGGTATCAGTATGTGCCTCCTAGGGCTTACTCTTCAGTGCACTCTTACTCTTGAAATTAAAGCAGGCTCTCCATGGCGTCTTCTGCCTGATACCTCTGCAGAGACATTCAAAGTAGCCACTGAATCCCAGGTATCTTAAAAATAAAAACAAACAAACAAAAAATTCGGAACAGTGTCTGAATCTTCTGTCTCTGTTTGGCACCCATGTCCTTCCTGCCTATCTTAAAACATAGAGTTAGGTAGGAGCAAGTGATTTGCACATCTCTTGTTTCAGGGCTGCATGATACTGTCTGCGTATATTGTCAGTGGAGAAATTACTGTTATACTTAGGCTTTGATATTGCCCTGATTCTCTTCGTTAGTTACACAGAGGCAGGTTTGACAGCTGTGAATAGCAGTCAATCTGTTTTGGACATGACTCTGAGCTGTCCTTAGTGGCAATGATCGTCATTGTCCCTGCTGACCTAGGTCTGAACAGGTGGCCTAAAGGCTACAAAAGCTTTGCACCTCCACCTGAAAATGTATGGATTATGGAGATTAGCCCATCTAATGCTTGTAAGTATTTGTTTGGCAGTGGTACTGAAGCGTGGAAATTCATACACGTCTTTATGAATCAGAGAACCCCTGCCAAGGGTTGTTTCATAAATTCAGGGACTTCTGCAATATGCTAAAACATAACCTTTGGAGAGTGTTACCTTGGTTTTGAGTTAGGGCTAATGAGGTGCAAATTCATTAGTTTTTTCTTAAACATACAAAAACTTCAGGATTTTTTTTCTCCTGACAATTTCTCCCTCCTTCTAAAGGTGTTGTGGCTGTTAAAGCTTCTACTTACAAATGCTTCCTGTCCTCTGTTCTAGTTTGACCTTAAACAATGGTTAAGCGTTGCTAAGCCACCTCTGTCTGAACGTACCAAGCTTCTGGACTCTATTCACTTGGCTCTCAATGCATGTGGCCTTGAACCTGAAGAAGATATTTTGATGCCATTTAATATCTTCTGCAAGCATTGGACTAACCTTCTCCAGTATCAGTTCCCTGATCACTATAGTGATTTCCTAAGATTGTTCGTGCAAAGTGAGTATCTGAATCGATGCATACTAAGCCTTCCGTAAAAAATCTTCTGGCTTAAAAATATGAACTGCATGCAGTAGAGTTAAATAGCAACAAATTTGGGATGATTCTATATGCACTTTTATGTGCATGCTATGTGATATGTTTTTATTAGACATATTTTACCTCTACTGGAAAGAAATACTCTTTTGCAGATCAAAGCATATGCATCAGTGACAACAGATTTTCAGCCCATATTACAGGAGAAGGATGGAGGAGAGGTTTCTATTAATGGAAGCACTTATTAATTATAATTATGCCACAGTCTGTAATGCAGCATCCTTGTTCTTGAGCACCCTTCAATGTCAAACTGAGAACTAGAGTTATGGAGACCTGGGACTGATACTGTAATCTGCCGAAAATGTCATGGTTGACATTAGATGCTACCTGTAATCTGCTAAATGAGAACAGAAGTACTTCCTTTCTGTCAAACCATATGTGCTGAGGCAGCAACTCTCTCTTAATATGTGTTTGTAGCCGGGGATGTACTAAGTGCCTGGGAAACTCTCTAAGAAGAGAGCATGTGGATGCCAAAAGGAATGTTAAATTACTTATGTTTGGCAATTAGAGATATCTCTCACCCTTAAACTTGGGGCTTTCAAATTCATGCCTTACCTAATTTTTTTTAGCAGTAGGCAGCTCTAATTTTAACCTTTTCTGACTTGTATTGAGAAAGGGACTAATATCCTTCTCCTGACTTCCACAAATGCATTCCCTTCTCTTTCTCCTAAGGCTCATCAGAGCAGCTTCTAAGCCCTGACTGTTGGAAGGCATCCCTTAAAGCTTTGGGATGTGGTTCACCAGTGACTGAACAGGGAAGCTTCAAGAAAAGTGATTCTACTGAAAGTCCTGTATTGCAGGATGCTGCAAAAATTCTCCTCTCTGCAGAACAGGTGGGTGCCTCTTTGGTTGATGTATTATGTTTTTCAGCCGAAACAGATGACAAATAGTGACAAGTAACACTGCTGTGCAGTCTTTCTGTAGCTGATTAATAGTTCCCTTCTTTTTACAGGTTAGAGAGACAATAGAATGGCTTTCCACATCTTTCTGCAAACTCCGACTGGCTTCGACGGACTTCAGGACTTTTGGTCTGTTTTCAAAATGGAGTCCTTATGTAGCTGAAGTGAATAAATTTCTGGAGTATCTTACTAAACGACTTATTGACACCGAAGTTGCCAATTTAGCCCAGGAGCCTGTTGGCAGTAGCAGAATTCTAGCAGGTAATGTGTCTTAAAAGCAAGTTACTTAAGAACAGGCACTCAGTTTCTCTAATTTCCTCTGTTAAGACCATTTAAATATACAGTAAAATCTTCTTATTCTGCATTTGTACAATCATGAGAACATTAAAATACAGACAGGAAATGTTGATGCTACTTCATGGCCATGTGGGACTTTTATGCTTTATCCTCATGCTTGTTGGAGGAAGCTTGTTTATATTTGAGCTTGCTTTAAAATTATTTTATGAAGAGATCATACTTTCTTCAAAGAAAAATACAGTCTTTTGCACTGAGCAAAGGTTTGGGAACGAAGGACTACTGAATTTCATCATGGTGTGATTTTGATTTGGAGAAAATCGCCAAAACACCTTTTATTTTAGTATATGCAGGTTTAAAGTGTGAATCATCATTACCCCCACAATCTCAGATGTGTTAAAGTGATATTAATAAAACATCTAAGCAATGCAAAATGCTTATGATTGTTGTTAAAACAATCATATTGTTAACCAGAGTTACTAATAAGCATACCATATTTTAAATTTTTATTTGACCAGGAAGAACTGATTAAATGTTGGAATAAGCAAAGGACATTGTATTCAAGTTTGGAAAAGTGTAATATGCTCACTGTTGCTAATTTTGGGGGGGAAAAAAGCAACTTCTATGTTTTATTTTCTTCTTCTAGCATTGCAGTCGTTGTATTCAGTCATTGCTGGACTCTTTAAACCATGGATACTGGTCTTGGATAAGGAAGATGCAAGGTATATAGTGCATTTTAAAATTAAATGAGTTTTTGCTCAAGTGAGGACTTTAACCCTATAAGAATGGCTTTCATTGTTGTCTGATTTTTTTTCTAATTCATGACTGCATTATGACCTTCCCTTAAATAGCTGGGACTTATGTCATATCCTTAACAATTACGGAACTAATTCATGAGTTTCTTAAGTCAAATTTTCCAAGACTTGGATTGAGTAATTGTTTTAGATACAAGAAATATAACCAAGCTGTGGTCAGGAAGCAGAGATGAGAAAAATATGAATTGCACTTAGTTCTGGAAACACTCAAATTTGAATTTTAGATTTGTTTTTTTTTTAGCGTCTGTAATACCAATAACTCCTTAGTTTAAAACGAAAAAAAAAAGCCAAGCAAATACAACCCCAAATGCCAGTGGTACGTAAAGAAACCTTGGACTGAATCAGTCCTGTGATGATCTACTGTCTTGTGTACCTCTGTCTTCACACAGAGAGTTATTTGTAATGTTGTACACTTAAATTTGACTTTCTTCCAAAGCCAAAAGCTTTTTGAGCTGTGAGCGCATCTCCAACATTTAATTACAAGTTTGACTGCAGGTGGTATGTGCTGTCATTCAGAAATTCCTGTGTTTTGGTATTTAATTCAATTATGAAATGCCAAACAAGTAATCTCTGCTTACTCAATGGTATCGTGGATCTTCAGCGTGACGTTAAAGTCTGTACCTCTTTTAAGGAAGAAACAGGCAGTTCTAAAGAATTGAGTCTGAATGAAAGGACTGCTGATACCTTCTATATTGATGTACTGTGTACTATCTACTATATTGATTTACTATGCTTTGGCATATTTAAATTGTTTGAGTGTTTATGATCTGTTTATGATCTAGTAACTCAGCACTGAAATTTGTGTTGCTTTACTTCTTTTAAGTAACCAGCCCTGCTACCCTTGGTTAGAGAGCGACACTCCTGTAGCATCCACCGTGGTCTGTTTGTTTACAGATTGCATCAAGCTTTTGCACGAGAGCTTTAAAGGTGGGTAAAGTCCACACAGTTTTAATGTAGTGGCACTTTCTGTTGTATCAGACCAAAAATGATTTTTGATTGAGATGTGGAATGTGAGGGGATTTTTTTTGTTAGGAACTTTTAGCCAAGATGATCACTGCAGTGGTGCCAGAAGCATTTCTTTATTTCATCCTTAAAAGACAGCTTTTTTTCCTTGCCAAGGGTAGATAACGTGATTGATAAATGCATATCTGTCAGATTACAAAGTTAATGTGAAGGAAAGCAAAACAAAATGAGCTGTCATGAGAATTGCATGACTTCATTCCAGGTCTGTATATTGTCCCCGTACAACATGCACAGTAGCATGTCACAATGACCAATACATTTGTTTCAACAGCTAGTCTTGGAGGTAATTTAATCTCCAGGACTGATCATTTTGAGCTCCTATTTAGCATTGCTTATTGTGCCTAATGTGTAGTTAGATAGGGGAGTGGAAAAAAATTAATTTCGCAAATACCTCTTAACAACCTTTAGGGATGAACTAGATTCAAACTTATCTTGTAGAAATAAATAAATAAAAATAACATATCATTGCGTGTTTTGTAAGATTCCAGATTCATAGAATCTTTTTTAAAAACAAAAACAAAACTAAAAAACCCTACATAAAAACAGTGAAGTTCTACATGGAAGGAATATTTTATAAGCTTCAGATTTTTGTCCAGCAGCTCTTCAAAAGATTGAGGATGGGCATGAAATCATAAGCTTCCCCACTTGTTGATTTGGAGAAAAAAAATCTAAAAGCTTAAAAATGTGCTGCTTTTTTTTTTCCCTTTTGACGCATGTATTTTGGTGTAACTTGCGTTTATGGTTTTTCTTCAGAATTGGATTTTCTTCTGTAATCAAGCTTTCCCTGAATTTTTTCTGTTGTTAATTCAACTGTTTCCTTTGAATCTAGATAAGCTGTTGCCAAGCCACCATGGGGCTCTCTGGTTACATCTGATGCATTACTGTGAATGTTGCACAGCCCCCAAAATGCCTGAGTTTATTCTCTATACTTTCCATAATGAGTTCAGAAGGCTTCCATGGAAGGAAATGCATCCAGACCAGATGCTTATGGAAGAGTTCTTTAAAGTGAGTACGTAGCATCTGCTGAATTAAGTTCATAATCAGTGTTGCCCTTGAAAATAGCTGGGGAGCTAGAGACAGTTCTTTTAGCAAGTAAGCTTTTAAAGTTTGTTGTAGCATTCCCAGCTGCTCATTTTGTGATTGAAGATTTTTGCGAAGGAGCGCTACTGGGTCTTACACAAAGTTGTGAGGAGTTGTAAAGCTGGCAGTCTCTGTAATCTGTCATTGCGCTGTCTGAACGTCTCATTTATTAAATATATCATAGAATCACAGAATGGTTTGGATTAGAAGGGACCTTTAAAGGTCATCTAGTCCAACCCCCTGCAAGGAGCAGGGACATCTTCAACTAGATCAGGTTGCTCAGAGCCCCATCCAGCCTGACGTATTTAGTGTGTGTTTGGTTAATGTTAATGTATTTTACTATTGCCATGTTGTTCTCACTTGCAAGTTGTCTGAGACAATGTAAAGCTGCAGATAGATGTGGAAATGCTCCAGGATTTACTGCTTATCTGTTTGGGATGGATTCTTCATGCAGTTCTAAACAGGTTCAGAGTTTCTTATTTTCTCTTAGAGTGAAGAGAAGTAGTTGCAGTAATGCAGTTAGGAGTTTATAATAAATTTTTTCTTTCTGGTTTGCAGCAGCTTGATATTCTGTACTGGTTGTTTGAGAGGCCTAGAAACTTACATGTGCAACTCTTCTGGTGGGGGGCAAAATGATGGAGAAGCAGTGTCTGTCTACTCCTCTGCTGACCTACAATGCTGCTGTGGATTTATGGTTGGCTAAGGAGTTGAAAAGTATGAATGTGTTTATATCTTACATTGTTTTATGTGCCTGCCTTTTTTTTCCTTTCTCCTTCCTAGATTGAAAGAGGCAGCCCCAAGAGTTGTTTCTTATTCTTGGGTTACGTTTTATGTGAAATCAACTGGGTCAGTGTCCTCTCTGATGCCTGGAATCCCAACCCTCATCCTCAGACTCACAACATGATTGTCTGTTTGCTGTATATGATGGTCCTGTTGGCAAAGGAGGAACAACTTACAGGCAAAGAGGTAATTTTTGAAAAGGTTCATACCTATCTGTCTTAGAAGAAGAATAATCCTTTGCTAGCAAGGACAGAGGCTGTGACGACTTTCTGACTTGCAGAATGGTTATCTCGGAGGTGCCTAGGTAAAATACCCCAAGTAGTGTTCTGGAGATGGCCAAGACTAAATCCTTACGTGAGGCATTTTGCGTAACTTCTGTGAGAAAAGAAGAGCTGCTGTTTGTTTTAAGAAGCCTCTGTAGGTGCTGTGATTCAATAGTGTTGTAAAGAGTAGGCAAATAAATACAGACAGTTTCCTGGAGTTATAAAATGACTCTTTGGCTTTTGGAAAGAACAAATATATATGTTAGTTTCATTAGTGTTTAAAAAAAAAATTGTTATGTAAAACTACTGTGCAGTTGTTTTCATAGTTAAGTATGGGATGCTGCATAGTATATCTCTCTTGTCTCTTAGGCCAGCCCTTAATTAAAATGTCTGTTTCCTTTTCTTTTTCCTGATTTTGGAGGACCTTAGTTACAAGCAGATGCAATGCAGAGGTCACACTCAAGTTGGCGGTGTTAAGCACAACTCAGCAATGGGATTAGTCCCTGTGAGGTTAGGAGCAGGACTTGATCCGAGTGTAGTTTTTTTTCATAGCTGTCTAAAAGGAAAATATTTATTTGTCTGCTTGAACATGTTTTCTCAGGAGTTATAAATCTCAGAACTGCTTTTGCAAACATTTATTTCTTACCATAAAATGCTCCTCTCCTAAATCCATATGATGTGATGACAAGTCACGATGATGGAACAACATCTTGAAGACCTTATCTTTAAGAAGCTTGTCACTGTCTGCTTCTGATGAGTTACTGGGGACAGATTACTTCATCTGTTGAGTCTTAGGTTGAGTTTTCTTGTTATTTTGCTCTGAAGGCGGATTTCATCATCTCTGATATCTCAGCACTTTTCCCATTTATGGTTGCATTCCAGTAAGTCTGAATTGTTGGAATAGGAAAGAGAAACAGCGGGTGTTAGGATGAACTTTCCAAACTCTGCTTTTGCCAAGAGCTCTGTGTGGGTAAATCTAGCACAGTCTGATTCAGTCCATTGCTTCTGGAGGACCCTTCCAGAGGGGCTGGGTAATTTTCAAGAAGTCCCATTTCACATCTGCCAGCTTTCTCCCGCTTGTAGCGTCTTCCGTTTTCCATTTCCTCTGAGGCATTACGAGATGCTGTGTCAAGATGTCACCAGCAGCCTTTGATCAAAACTGTATTCCAGTTTAGGAAAATTACCGGAGTTCACGTGCTTTGACCTGAATGCCTTTGCTTATCAGAAGCTTCTGAAGCTTCAAAAGATACCTGTTTGTACATTGTATGAGTCAGCCTCAGGAATTCCCTCCTAGCCTCCAGCAATGTGTTAAACTGACACGCTGTCACTCGTTTTTTACCTCCCAGAACTCTCCTGTGACACCTTGACCTAAATCTCAAACTTTCTCAGCCCAATGTTCCAGTGCACGCGCAACTTGAAGTACTTGATGTACCAGCGTCACATTCTTGTTGATGTAGTCTAATTTGGGTTAGTTCTCGATCCTTAAAGTCTCTAGGTTATGTTGGCTGTCGACACAATTCTGGTATTTGTTCATTCTACAAGGTGTAGGAATTTGGTGCTTCTCAGTGTCCAGGGGGTGCCCTTTTGTATTGCAGATGTGTACGAACCCATGAGAGGAGGATGGCGGTAGCTGAGGCTAGGCTCTGCGCTGCTTGTAGACGGAGGGACTTTTCCATCTGCATGCTTGCGCTGCCTGTGTGAGTTGCGGACACTGTAGGCTGCTGTAATGTTCAGGATGGTATTTATGAGAATAAGCACTTGAGGAGTCCCCCAGGTTGGTAGATGATTCACTGAATGGAAGATTGAGGGACACGGCTTCTGTCCCTGGTTCTACTGTGAACTTAGGTGAATTTTTTTTTTCCTAATTTTTAATGCCTTTTTTAAACCTCTACTGAAGTGACTTTACCTTGGAGGGTCTCCATTTCTTTCTACCTGTCTTTACATGTTTACATGTCAAATTTTAACGTCTCTCACTGACTTGTGCTTGGTTAGAGCTGCTGCAGCAGTCTGAATGCTGTAACGTGAATGCTAGAGTTGACATAGAGTTGACATGTGTTGGCTTGCTGCTTGAATGAGGAGTTGCTTTTCAGCCAGACTCCCAGTGGTCATCTATTTCTGTGGGGTTTCTGCTCCATCTACTTCAAATTTTGGAGCCTGGGCTTCCTTCCAATATTGAGTACTGTGAATATTTAAAACAGTAAAGCAGGTGGAGCTTAGACTGATGTCTTTAAATCTTCAGGAATCGCCACTCATAAATCTGCTTGGACAGACCAGCTCCCTTCCTTGGCAGCTTGTGGGCATTTCATCTTATCAGAGCATCATCAGCTACTGCAACAGTCACTACCCTCCTTCTGTTATACTTGCTAAGGATGCTGCAGCTGAACTGATAGTGAAGCTTCTGAAAATCTCAGCAGGCTTTGGTGCCTCTTCAGATAGTCACATCCACCTTGTAAGTTGGACTGGTTTTGCAGTGTCTCTGAGCCGTTCTTGTCATTTGCAATGTTCTGCTTTTGTATATTACGGAGTGTGGAAAGAGTTCTAGGCGTGATTTTTTCTTTCCTAATTGACTTTAATTTTGATTACCAGGATGCAACACTGAAGTGCCGAGCATACATTCGCCAGGTGGTTCAATTTCTTAGCACCTTGGAACAAAGCGGAAAGATTACTCTTGCAGTTTTGGAACAAGAAATGTCCAAGTTGCTAGATGATGTAGTCATCTTTAATCCTCCAGGTTTGTAAAACTGATCAATACGCAGGAGCTTGAGGGATTCTTTTCTTTGTTGTCTAGTTTTTAATTTTTTAAATTTTATTTGGCATGTCCATCTTTTTTAAAAGGAAGGATGACACAATTACACTCTCTTGGTCCTGAAGGATCAGGTTCTAAGACAGGATGCTAAACTGTTGTGCAATTGGGAAAGCTGACTATATTGAAGTAGGGGAATTATATTCATGTACGCTAGTAGTATGGTGTGTCCACACCCACAGCATTTATATTGATCTCAATTTTAGTGCTAGTACCATCCTGAGCTTCCTCTATCAAACTAAAACTTCAGGTGAAATCAGTCGTCTCACTGTACTACACAGAAATACTTGTCAGGAGTCATGACTCTTCCTGTCCATGACCCACATAGATGCGCTAGCAAAGTGAACAGAAAGTCTCTGAAAATCTGTGAGAGTGATAAGTACTTGTATTGCTACTTGGCGAATCTCTGTAGGACAGCCCCATAGTCAGCAAAACTCTTTGTGACTTGAAGAGAAGCGAGGGGTTGCCTGTTGCTGCTGACGCTCCTCGTAGCTGAGAAATTTTGGAGGAGACGGGAGCTTCAGTATAAGAGGAGCAGCTCTGTTTCATGAATCCCTGTGCACACTTATATGTGTTAAATGGCTGAAAGAGAGAATGCTCCGTGTTGCTCAGCCAGGCTGTGGAGCGCAGGAGGATCACTGATGCGGAGCGGCAAGAAAGGGGTGGTGTGTATCAGATTTAGCTTCTCTGTGAGGTTTGGAGGGGGCTGGCAGAGGTTTTTGGAAGAGCCTCTGGGGCAGCACCTTCTGTTGACAACAACTGGAGAGGAGAAAGCTGGACTTCTGGGCACTGCGCCGGGACTTGTCCCAGCAGATCTGGTGGGCCTTGGTGTCAGGTGTCTGGCAATGGTCCCGCTTGGTGGTCTGCAGCCTGTGAAGTGGGACTTGGCTGTAAAACTAGTTGTGATCTTAGGTAAGTCAGTTAACCTCCTGGCTTTGTCTTTCTCGGTTGGTTTTTGATAAGAGATGTTTACCTTACTGGAGAGCTGTGCCATGACAGATGACTTTTGGGGCTTTTTTATTTTCTTTTTTTTTTTTTTTTTTTTTCCTTAGTAGGTAGATACAGACAGAATAGCTTAGTTTGGAAGGGACCTCTGGAGGCCTGTACTCCAGCCTCCTCCTCAAACCAGGGCTAGCTTCACAGTTAAAACAGGTTACTCAGGGCCTTCTCTGGTGAGCATCCAAATATCTGCAAGTGTGGAGGTCTCAACCTCTTTTGATGATGTTTTTCCAGTGATTAATCCCTCTTTGTGCACAACTTTTCTTCATAACCAGTTGAAATTTTTCCTTCCACAAGAAGCCTGATGTTGCTTGAAAATTTTCTTTTATAACAATGGTGGCTTTTTTTCCATCAATATGTGCAAAGGTCTACTCTGTAGTTAGAGAGCCAAGCGCAGGAAACTTTTGCTTTGAGAGTGCTGTTACAGGTGGCCCATGATGACATGTTCAGGCAACGCCAAGAAATGGTTTCAAAAAAATATTCTGGGGTTGAACACTGGGATTAGCAGAAAATCTAGAATCCTGGAAATGCATGAGGGGACTGCAACATTTCAGGACTCATTTTGGTCATATTTCAAATTGAATCATCTAAAATCTTGGTTGTTTCACTCTAAGCTGTGTTTTAAACTATGTTTTAATACCCTAGTTTTCTTGGAGACTGTAAATGTGCTTTATCATTCAATTTATTTGCACTGTAGTCATGGTAAAAGACCCTAGGTGAAAGATGGGCTCCAATGTACTCTGCTCTACAGTCTTACAAGCTGTCTCTCTGTTTAATGAATTATGAACTGTCTCATCAAGGGAAGATACTGCGAGGAACGGGTGTCTTATTGCAGTTTCATAAGTACAGACAAGGAATTGAGGTGTGTAATGAGCAAGAGGCTTTTCTCAGTATCTGCAGAAAGGGTTCAGTGGTGAGTTGAACCCAGTGGTGGGTTCTAGTGTGTGACATGATTGAAATGGCGACTGAAATGGTTCTCTTATTTCTGGCTTTCAGATATGGACCTGCAAACACGTCATATGGCCCTCAGCAGTCTCTTTACAGAAACGCTGATGATGATGAACAATTCTAGCGTTACAACAGCTGAGTCGCTACGGGGGAGCTTACGAAAGTGGATCGATGGCAAAGTGCACGGGTTGCTAGCAATGCCCCTTCTCACGGCAGCGTGTCAGAGCCTGGCCTCTGTGCGACACATGGCAGAGACGACAGAAGCCTGTATCACTGCTTACTTCAATGAAGGTTGGAGCCTGTCTGCTGCTGCTGCTTGTCTCAAAAACTTTGATCAGTCTTGGATGCCCGTTAAATAAAAATCATCTGGAATCCTTATAGCTTCACGCTGCCCAGTACTGGAACTGGGTTTTAATCTGGTTTCTGTAATCAGAGCTCCTTTCTTTGTATCTGATGGCTCCCAGCTGTCACACATATATGTGCTGTAGTAACTAGATGTAGAAAAGTTAGGCCATTATGGTTTGGGTTTTTCAACTGCTCTAATTGTGTATTTTCTTAAGAACTATACCTGTCTCTGCGAAAACAGATTTGCTCTGTGTAATGGTTGCCATTTTTCCAGCTAAAGGGGAGGACTTTGTGTAAAAAAAAAAAAAAAAAAAAAAATCATCCCAAGAGAACAAAACAGGTATTTGTCCCCTCTTCTAGGGTTCTGTAGGCTAAGTTAAGAAAAAAATACTCTTGATTGGTAAAACTTTGAAATTCTGTGGTGCGGGTTTTTTTTTTTTCCCTTTCTGTTTACATAATCCTTGTGGAACTACATTTTGATTTCTTCCACATTCTGTGTGATCAGATTTCAGTACACCTGAAGGAAAGATTTAAAATTCCATTGCTAAAATTTTCAAATTTAATCCTGACTGAATGCTGGGAAGATATCTCGCCTTGACCTCAAGGAGGTGCCCTATGATAGTGGAGTTTTTCTTTTCTCTCCGTCAGAGTTGCATGACAAACTGATTACCTGGAGAACAGCTAAACCAGCCCAAATTCTGTCACTTATAGAAACACAGTGAAGTAGTTCTAGTTCTTAGGTTTTACTAAGTGCTGCTTTCTCACACACTCTTTTTTCTGTCCTTTTGGGTTTTTTATAGATTGTCCTCACCACCCGGATTTAGGCTGGGGCCCTGTACTCGCTTCCCTCCAAGTTCCTGAGCTAACCATGGAAGAATTCCTGCAGGAGTGTCTGTCTTTAGGAAGCTACTTGACCCTGTATGTCTACCTGCGGCAATGCCTAAACACTGACCAAACTCTTACCAATGAAATGAAGATCCTGCTAACCATCAGGAAATGGCTGGAGCAAGTGTACCCAAGGTACCAAGCTCAAGGCTTCTGAATATGCCTTGACTTTTAAATAAGGCTGTAGTTGTATAGCCAGTATAATTAGGTGGCCAGGTTAATTAGGTTGATTTCATCAGGCTGCTGGATGAAATGGTCAATCCTTCTATATCCGCTATTACGGAGTCTGCCCAACCCCACTGCCAACACTGATAGTTGTTGTGGTTAAACAGAGGGAATTTTATCTACTTGAACACTTCTGGTGCAGTTTTGGTCAGTTTTCAGTCAGAGAAGCTTGATTTCAATGGCAGCCTGGATTTGTGCTCAGTTAAAATTACTTTAAGCAAACCCTAAATCACTGTGGGTTCCGCTTTCCAGAACGTCCACTAGGTGGGATGAGTTATGTGCTGAATATTCAGTTTGATGTTCCTGAGAGACCTGGTGTTTAAAGCTCCTCAATGGTGACTGTCAGCAGCTCTGAACCAAATCTGAACCCAGTGGATCTGGTGGGGTGCCCAGCGTTAGCGGCCTCTATTGCTCTAAAACAACTTATTAGATAATAGGGTTCTGGTGGGAAAGGATGGATAGCTTTGGGGTTAAAATGATAATACTTTGTACTTAAAGTATGTAACAACTGTATTTACAGTTGCTGCTGAAATTGCCAGGATTTAGCAAACGTGGTGAATATTTTTCCATATTAATGTTGGTAATGTTCGTATTTGCTGTGAAAGAACATTTTGGGAAAATGTATGTTCCCGCTGTTTCTTGAAATTCAAAGAATACTTTCACTTTTAGTAATTTGATTGCCAAAGTGTGAAGGAGACAGCAAAGCCACCATACACAGCAAATTAAACCTTGCTCTAAACATCAAAGCTGAGGGTGCCTGGTATGGGAAATGACTGGGCGGAGTAATGTGAGGATCGGCTGATGTAGGAAACTCGTGCTGATGCTTTATGTGGAAAATCTGAGCTTCTTAACTTAACTGCAAACTGTTTGGGGAAAGATTAAAAATATCATAAGGGGAACTTCACTTTGTGCTTTGCTCAACAAAAAACTTCAATGTTTCCTTTTCTAGAAGATCATATTAAAAGTCTAAATTGTTGTGGAAACAACAGCTAGTGCTTCCTAAAGTGTTTTACTCGTAAGTAAAGGGAAAAAAAAAGAGTAGAGATACAGCTTAATTCTTTTTATACCAAGTCTTAGACAAGTTTAGATCCACTTATGACTGCAATATCATTTATTCTCTGTTGTAAAGCTTAAAAGGAAGCATTGTTCTTTGTCCTTTTACGGGCCCTTAAAACCTGCTGGCTGATGTCTGCATCAAAGCCATAGCAACAGCAATTACAGCAGTATAATAACTGGTGGGGTAGTATAGTTATGCTATCCTCATATAGTGAGATTAGCTATCGTTAATTAACCATCTGAATTCTTCATGGGCCTAATGGGGAGAGGTACAAACTTCTTATGCATCTGACTTTTTTTTTTTAATTTTTATTTTGTTTTGTTTTTATTCTTTAAATCTTACCTAAAGCTCAGCAAAGGAAGAGGCAAAGCTCTTTCTTTGGTGGCATAAAGCCATGCAGTTATCCTTGATTCAGATGGAGCAAGATGACACCATTCTGATCGAATCTGTTGTTCGGACGCTGCTGTCAATCCAAGGCAGGCAGAGTCAGCTGGCTGAGGAGAGACTGGCTTCTGGAATACTTGGTGCTATTGGGCTAGGCAGGAGATCTCCTTTGTCACCCAGGTAAGCACAGTGAATTAGTTGATTTAATGAGAGTCATCATGTTAAAAAAGCTGCAGCCTCGATCCAGACTGCACAGTGCAATGTCAAAAGATATTCTGAATTCATGCTGTCCCCAAATCTATAAATTTGTTTGGACCCATCACAGGAAAAAATGTAGCGAGTGTTTTAATCTGGTAAGAAGTGAATATGAACTTCTGCAAAGTTTGTGGTGGAAAAGGAAAGAAAAAGTTGTGATTCTGGCTTAATGTCTGTCTCCGGCAAAGTTTGTAGGGAAGACTGTTTGTTAGAGGAAAATGCTTTCACCTGGTCTGAAGAAGACTGTTCCAGTGGACCTCACAAGAATTTTGTATGATCACGTTGCCTTTTCTATCTTAACCTTGAGGTGTTGGAAATGTTAGGAGAAGCTAAAAGAAATATGTGCTTGCTTGTTACTCACTTTACCTTCTAAAGAGAGACACCAAGTTTGGTTGTTAGGTATTAAAATAAAGTTCGCTATGGAAAGAATGCCAAGAAAAAATACGTAAATGTTTGTGGAACACCAATTCAACACAGAACGTAAACATAACTGTATGTTTATAGAGACCCCCTGGGATGCAATCCTGTTAAAATTGTTCTGAAATCTTAGTCTCTTTCAACTCATCTCTTGATTTGGCTGATGTGGATGTTTCAAAGGCTGTGAAATGGAGGAGTATTTCATATGTGGCCTCAAGGCTGCAGCTAAGCTTGGAACAGATGCTACATTTGATACGTATGGTATTATCTCATCCTCTAGTATGTATGATATACTATTATGTATATATTAAAGTGACTTATTTTTTTCTAATGCATTGAAAAAGGTCCTGTAAAGCCTTATGTTGCTCATGCAAGAGAGATCTCATGGGATGGAACTTCTAGTTTTATCTGCTGTTGAGGACTTGCAAATTTGATACCACCTTCTCTCTCTGTGCTTTTCCCTATGCAAGGTTTCGGGTGGTTGCCCGCAGTTTGTCTGCCTTCCTCTTGGTGCAGATTCCTGCAGAGAGTCAAGTCCGCCTGAAAGCGGGGTCAGAGCCAAAGCTGTCGCAGAAGGCTCAGCAGGTAGTGTGTGCCAGCTGCTGGTTTCGTGACATGCCCTCTTTGCGTGCTTGCTCAGTTTGTGGGCTGAGGCTTGTAAGAGTCACTGCAAGCATTGCTTCAAGCTAAATCTTACTCTCAACTTGTTGATTTTTATTTGGCGCTGAATGCCCTCAGTCATTTTTTGCAAATGCTTTACACCTGGCTCTAAATTCTGAATTTCAGAAATAGCTTGTTGCTCTCATTTGCCTTCTCAGGGAAAGGGGTGTATCACAAACTTGTGTACAATTTTGCTATCCATCGAAACACCATCTTGGAATTTGCCAGAGACAAGGCCAGGGTGCAGCATAGGCCAGGTGATGATGTGAGTTTGCTGAACTCTGGTAGCAGGACTGTGTGTCTGAGCCCTGACTTAAAGTGATCCTAGGTAAAACTGTTTATACAGCATTCTGTATTAATATGAAGGCATCAGTTCCTAATCTTATACACTGAAAAGGTGCAGACGAATTTATGTTTGTAAACCCTGAGTTCAGAAACTTTGGAACATAGCAGGTGAAAGGAATTTAACAGGAAAAAACAATGCTGCTGTGGTTGCACTGCTTTTCAGTGATAAAGCGGGACTATATTCACACTAACACTTGTTTATGTGAGATCAGGGCTTAAAAGCCCTATGACAAATAAACATTCCTTCTTTAGCACGTGCACTGACCGTATTGTTTCAGTAAGTGCATGAGAAGAGGAAGGAGGAGTTGGTTAGAAACCAAAGCAAAGTTACTTACTTGGTACAACTTGTTTCTCATCTCTAAGAAATGACTGAAACTTGTTCAGACATATTTCCAACATTTGCCCTGGCTGGTACTGCCAGCATAGTTTCTTTTACATATAATTTCTAACTTGACATTGTCTCTGTAATGTTATTAATGGGAGCAAAATAGTACTTCTATGAAAGTCAAAGATGCTCATAAGAAAAACCTGAAGTGAATAGTTAAGTGTGTTGCAGTTTGTAATTTGGTGTAATTTCCTTGAAACCATGTCTTCAGCTCACAAAGTAAATATTTGACAATATTTGGGTTACAGAATCCTAGCAAGCCTTAGTAGAACAGTTATTGTATTGATTTCGGGGAAGGAACAGCTTGAAAAAAATGAGATGACTTGAAACACTATTAAGTGACTATTTTACAAATGTTTTGTTCCAAATACTCCGGGATCTCTAGTAAATAAGGATCTTCTAGTGGAGTTGTGAATATGGTGGCTCCTGAGCTGGTTTGTTAGGGACCGAAGCACACATAGCTAACAGAATTTTCCTTTGTATCTATAGGCACTGAATGCTCTTGAATCTATGGCATCAAACAAACAATATATGGATTATCAAGAGCAGCTTTCCCAGGCTTCTGAGTTCATCAAGCATCCAGAACATTGTCTTCGAGATGGCAATAATCTCTTGGCTCTCCTTATTAACACTCTGTACCCAGAAGTGCATTATTTGGACAGCATACGGTAGCAGCACTAAGCTCGCAGAATCATGCAATGTTGATTACTGTGGTTTACATTTAACGTTGTTATTGCACAAGTAATTTTTACCTTTAGAGTTCCACTTTAATTAAGTCAGAAGTGTGAATGGGAACTGCACACTGGCAAGTTTTCTCCTCTTTAAGTTTTCTTTCTTTTCTTTTGATTTGTAGGCCTGTGGAATTGCTCAGTTTTTGTTGACTGAAAACACTTGAATATCTTCCTGCGTATGGTGCACATCTGAGAGGAGTATACCTGAGGATAGGTGTAGAAATCATTAGACAGCAAAGCTCATCCTGTAACATCTTAATTTTTTTGCTTTGCTTTTTGTATTTTCCAAACTCAGGCCAGTTCAAAGTGAGTGGAGGATTGTGCATAAAAGAGGTTTTGACTTTCTTAACCATGATACCTCTAAATCTTATGTGAATGTGTGTTTGGAGACTTGTGAAGTCCCTGTATTTGGAAAGATAGTATTTTAAATTTTGACTTTTTTTTTTTTTGCTATCCCACAGAAATCTGTAGTTGAAAGGCATGCCTACAATCTTCTCCCACTTCTGTAAATACAGACTAAAATTTGAACTAAAGAACTTTGGTTTTTCCTGTTTTCTAAATATTAGTGAGTCTGCATCCATATTGCTTGATTAAATGCAAGTAATTTCTAGCCAAGTTCTTTTTAAGTCAGGTGATTTTCTGGATCCCCAGTCTCTGGGGGGAAAACAGTCACTCATATTCATGTTAGATAGGACTCCTTAATTCTGAAAGTCTGCTTGTTTAGGAAATAATGGTTTAACAAGTAGACACCCACCACTTAAGTTTATTCTTTTCTTCCTAGCTGGGCATGACATGACAGGATTTTAGATGACACTGTGAAAAGGTATTTATCTTGTATTAAATTTGGTGATTGCTTGTTAAAATTCTATTGCCAAAGCATGAACCATGAGCCTGTAACCTATTGTTTCAGCTGAATGATCACTGGTTTTGTTGCCTTGTCTGGTCATAAGATGCACCTTTGTTCAGGGAAAGCAGAAGGTGAGTTTCCCCAGTTGCTTGTCTAACATTGTCCCTTTTATCACTGATCTATCTGAGGTGGCCCAAGGTCCTGCAGTCCCAATCTGTACACTTCTGTGAAGGAACAATGATCACTTCTTCTCTTCCTCCATTAATTGTGCCTTTATGCTTAGAACATGGTTATATGTTAAAACATTAGTTCTGGTCACTGGGGGAAGGAAATGTGCTACCTACTGTCTGGTCAGTAATGCTTTGAAGTGTTGCTCTTAACTGTGGTTCCGGTGCTGGAGAACAAATCACTTTTTTCTTCTTGATAGCGAACTATGCCAGCTGGGTCATTAGATCACCTTCATCTTAATGTGGTCTTAGAGTTCTTTGCTCTATCTGCGAGCCTATAAATATATATACATATATATATATGTATGTACATCCCTCTGTATATTAACCAGATATTGATGCAGCATGTTTTTTAACAGACTCTTTTGGAAAATTCACATCTCGACGAATACATTCTGCTGTTTTTTTTCCCCCCAAAGACTTAAAAGCACTGGTTTTATTAGATTCAATGTTATTGACCAGTTGCATAAAAATGTGAAAAAGTCAGGAATATGTGTTTGACGTGCACTTTTAAAATGAGGTATTGTTTCAGCTGTTGAGTTTTTACAAATGTTGTATTTATAACATGCTATGTCTGCAAAGATCGTGCAAAATAAAAATGAAAAATCGAGTAATTTGTGACAAACACCATGATATTTTTTAACTTGCTGGCAGAATCCACATTGGGTAATACATAATTGTTCTTGGAGATGAAAGTATGATGGGGGAATGCCACACAGTTGCTCAGTTCATGGAGATTTGGAGATTTTTCTCTTTGACATCCTAGATTTAACATATATAGGATACAACAGCCTGTTTTTGTGCCCAGAACCCAGAAGAAAGCTCATCTATGTAATGGCAGAAATAACATTTCTCTGTCCTGGCAAAATTCCCCAAACCTCTGCGATAATGTGACCGCAGGATGATGCACTGGTTCAAGTCTTTCAGCACTCGCAACTGACCCAGACTGTGGAATTTGGTATTTATCCCAAATGAGGGGAAGGCTGGTGGTGTGGAGGGAAGTAGGGGAAAACTATGCCTCTGGTGCTGGTTCTGAGGGCTTTGCTGGTGGGCAGGGCCGGACCAGGCTGGGATCACTGCTGTCAGCAAACACCATTGACACCGTCATCACGTCCATTTGTCTTGACCATTGAAACAGCTTCTCTAATAACTTACTGCTTAAAATGTAATAGAAATGATGCTGTTTGACTTTTTTCCCATTTCTCGATCTCATAATTGTGATGAAAATGATTTGGTTTTTTGTGGTTAAAGTACTCTCTGGATAATACTATGGTAGGTCCTAAGAAATAGGGAGAATTCACAGTGAGCTGCTATTTTTGATGTACCAATCTGCTGGCTTCTCGGAGAGTGGTAGAAGTCTGAACCTGTGGTTTCCTCAAATACAGGGCAGCAGTTTTATGAACTAACAGATCCACTGGCTGTTCTCTGTCACAAATGTGCACTCCAGGGCTTGGAGCCTCATTCCTTAAGTGGTGCCCAACGGATTGACTTTTTGTTTCTTCTAGTTTTACTGGAAAGCCTTTCAGGTTCTCAGCATCTCTCCCCCCTCCCTCCTACCACAAACTGCAGTGTTCTTTTTCACATCATAAATGTAACCGGGTAATCTCAGAGGAAAACTAAGTTTTGTGTTGTTTTTAGCACTGTAGATTGCAGTGGAAAGAGATGAAATTAGAATGTCAGCTATTTAATAACAAGTGTGCCTTTGCAGTTTAGTCGGAGAATGAATATCTGTGGCTTTTTGAACGTTTGATTCGCACAGCAGTTGTTGCATCGGGATGAATTGTTGCCTGTGAATTGCAGCTTAAGTATTTATTAAGAAAATAAGGCCAAACAGGGAAATGGACATACCCTTAAGTCAGTGGAATGGAAAACCAGAAGTCTGAGCAGCAAGATGCCTAAAACGTGCAGACGGTTGCTTCCTATGCAGGCTGACTCTACAACATCCCACAGGGGCCGGGGCGTTGTGGTGATGGGAGTTGGTATCGTTGACTCTGGAAGTTAAAGCGCTCAACAGAGCAATGGCCAAATCCTCCCAAACCCTGACTGTGCATAAACTGGGCGGGGGGGAAAGGGGGAGGAACGAACACGCTTGTTAAGCCAAATGAGGTCAGTACTAGAAACCTCCTGGCACGTGCCCTGCTGTGTTTTGTCCTTCCAGTATATACTGGTTTGAGTGGGTGGTTTGAGTCCCCCGTGAGGACCAGGGTCTGCCAACATGGGGCTTCTTCCTTATGTACTTCCTGGGCAGGTGGTCTGCAGTGGACAGCCACCACACCACCACCTGTGTCTGTTGGCCTGCTAATGCTGACCTCTAAGCTCTCAGCTGGCTCATTGTCCACCCCTGGCCAGTGCATTCCCCCTGTGCTCTCACGTAAAGGACAAGTCCTCGTCCTCGCTGTCCCAGCTTGTCCTTCCTGAAGAGGCTGTATCCATCCACGGCAGCACTCGGGGCTTGTGAGCTATCACACAACGTCTCCGTCATCCCAGTGAGATTGTAGCCCTGCAACTGCACGTGGGCCTCTTAATTCCTGCTCTCAGGAAAGGTACGAGAGCTTTCCCCACAGCGCTGTCCTGTAGGCACTTCTTTACTGTGCACGTACACCGAAGTGGGCTCCTTCCACTCCTTTTTGTTGATTATGAGGTCTCTCCTCTGCATGTCACCCCACACCTTTTGCTTTCCAAAGGACAAAACAGCGGGTAGCGAGAGGGAAACGTTGAGAGCAAACTCTTCCTATTGCAGATCAATCTTGCAGGGGTTTGGATGGGTTAAAGAGGTCCCTGGCTGGGGAGGGGGACAGGATTCAGGCAAACTCATTTCTGTGCCTTCCCTGGTGTCCAGGGGTGGTGGGTTCCTGTACCTGGATGTCCTTGTTCTCCCGTTTGCTGCACTAACATGGGCTGTGCTCTGGAAGCCAAGTAAGTAAAAGTTGGACAGTGCTAATCCAGGAGTTTCCTCACATCTAAGTTTCTGCAGCTGTTTTGTGACGTGCATTTGCTGGCAGCGCGTAGGGTGCTGATAACATGCAACCGGGCACACTCAGTGGTTTTGGGGTACAAGGTCTGGTGCTTCTATTTGGACCCAAACTACTTGAGTTAAAGAAGTAGTTTTCGAGAGAAAAAAAAGCCTGTAAGCCAACCCTCAATCCCATACACGGGCAGAAATGAGTTCTCATTACTCTAATGTATGTCTATAAATCATGAGGGCTCAGAAATTCAATTCAGTTTGTCCAGTTAATCTCTCTGAGGTCTCTTTCTTCCTATGACCCCTGTGAAACTGAGCTTACGGGTCCATGACTATGCTGTCTGCTATAACTTCCTTTTCCTCTTTGCATCTCTTCGTATTTTTATTAAACTTGGCTTTGCCACTGCTGGGATTTTAAACTGAGGTTTAAAAGATCAGTTTCAAATATTTCCTTGCTTTTTTTTTTTTTTCCTTTCTTTTTTTTTTCCTTCTTATCCTGAGCAAGTAATTTAAAGTTGTGCTTTACTTTCCCAGCACCGATGTTATGAAGAGGTGAACTTTAAAATAATAATTCCCAGGCCGGGGGTGAGCTTGCAAGCAGGACCACAGGCTTGATGGTAATTCAGTAGCAGCTTGTGCTCCCGGCCAGCAGTGGTTGCTACCAGAAGTGGGATCGTTAGGAGAAGAGTTTTGGAGCTGCTGCACTGGAATGATTGCATAGAGCATCGAATCCAGTGATACAAACCTGAAAGTAGGTTCTTGTCACGTCATCTGACAGGTACACTCTTCGCTGGGTAAAA